GTGAGGAAGAAACAAACATAGCTATTGAAAATGGCCATATTTATAGTGGATTTTCCCATTAATAGCATGGTGATTTTCCATAGTTTTTTGTATGTTTACCAGAGGGTAATTTGTGAGGAAGATGGTTGTCTGGTATTTCAACTGCCATCTTGGAATTCCATCGACTCTTGCTGCAGTCCGGCCGTCCGCGTTTGTCACCAAGGAAGAGGGTAACTTAGACACCTCTATGCTTGGATATGCACCCCAGTTGGGAAGGGGTTCCATGATTAACCATGGCTATAATTAACTGCATGTGTATATATATATACATATGTATATTTATATATGTATATATGTATATATATATATGTATATATATATATGTATATATATGTATATATATATATGTATATATATGTATATATATATATGTATATATATATATATTCGAAGCATCTATCTGGGTAACACAGGGTGTACTACAGCAACTGCCCAAAAAAGCCAGTTTTATCATGGGATATCACCAGAAAAAAAAAAATGGTTTTCATGGTTTGACTTCACAAAAACAGGGACACAATACTCATTGCTGCTTCACAAAATCCAGCTTGATTAATCATCCAGTTGTACTTATAAAATCTTATAAACACCAGAAACTTTACATAGATATAATTACTTCCATCACCCAGTTACAATCATGCGCTTATGAAATTCCTGGTAGCTCCTTGGCTCCTCATTTACTAGGGAATATGGATACGCATCGCTCCGAATTGCTCCCTCCAAACCCATAGTATATATACTAAGCATACACTAATTATATATGAATCATATACTTACCATACTTGTATACTAATCCCTGAAACCATATATTGCTAGGTGGTTCATCCCACGAATCGTGGTTTGGTGGTTAGTTCACCCCGGCGGATTAAATGGGATTTTTGTAGAGATTTTATCGACTTGTATCTGGGGTTTTCACAACTAACCCACTTGCAATTCGTGGGATGAACCCTAGATAGCTAAGTTGGTTTATAACTCCAATAACTATGGTTTATGGTACCTATAACTATAGTTAATGGGGTTTATAAACCATCTTATAACTCATGGGCCCTACCTTTTAGGATTTACACCCTGGTAAATTAACAGTTGGACCCTGAAAATCACCCATTTTTTATGGTTTCACTAGTCTTCCAACCCCGATGACTGCCAGGGTCGTCATGTTAATTTACCAGAGGGTATATGGATTTGTGGGAAAATTATATAGAAATCTAGGGGATTTCCAGGGATTCTGGTGGAAAAACTTGCGGTGGATTTTCCCATGACTTCACTGAGCTCGCCCCGACAGGCGATCGGAGGCCCCGTTGGTTGGCAGTCGCGACCTGGTGGGATGTTTCAAAGGTGGAATGTGTTATGGGATATATAAGTTTATCTGGACCATGGTATCTACACTAGATATGTATATATATATATATATACATACATACATACATATGTATATTATATATATAATATTGATATACATATATGTACATATGTATATATATATATGTATATCATATATATATATACATATATTACTTTTGAGTAGATTAAAATAGTTCACTAACCTGAAATAGGCTATACCTCGGTCGTGATGAAATTTATCCAGATGTACAAGTATGAACTATTTTACCTACATGACTGGGTCATGGGGGTTATATAAATGTTGGTAAATATTCCGTAAAGCATATGGGAAGGGAGATCCTACGCAAAAAATCGTGAGATATATAAACAACATTAAACAACAAACAAGCGACATAAGTTGATATCAGCAACAAAATGTGAGTGAACCGACAAAAAAAAGAAAAAATATATAACAACAAAAGATCAGATTGAACCAACAAACAAAACTGGTTGGAACGTTCATCAGAAACCAAGGCCTGGGGTATGCGAAGACCTCATGGAGTTTACAAAAAAAAACATCCCTTCAGATAGGAAAAGTTTGAGGTCTTCATTGCAACATCCTCGATTCTCACAGCCCAGTCCGCCGAACCTTCAGGGGCAAGACCAAAGCAGCCATTGCTTCTGGGATTCTAAGTGACAGTTGGATGTCCAACAATGAAATCACACAGTCAACATTATTTCCCATTGGTTGTCCGACAAAATAGTTCAGAATGTGTGCTATTGGATGCTATTGGTATTTCAAAGAGGTTGCTACTGCATCTCCATTTTTCCCACGTGGAAACCCATTTCTCATGAAACAGCAGCTCACTAGAAGTGATGGCCAGAATGCTCCACTTCACCCTTCGCCCATTTGATTAGAAGGTAAAATGGCTAGAAGCATCTGGAAAACATGGATTTCACCAGCCAGAAATCATGGTTTTCCAGTACACTCTGGTTGTTTGTTACATAGCCATGGTATAGATGGCCCATAGAAATAGGTGGTTGACCGAACTTAAAAATGGGTGGATTTTCCATGGCTATGTAACAAATAACCAGATGGTAAATAAGATATCCCATAACATATTCCCAATACCCTCCGGTAACCAAACATGGCAATGGAAAATCCCTCCTTTTTAGATGGTAAATCAAAACAATTTGGAACCCACTGGATGTTTCCAAAGGTTGGAGATCGGTGTTGCGACTGAAACCACCTGGGACAGACCGAAAACTCCTGGGATCAAACGCAACCACTGGGGAAATCAAGACTGGTATGGTGGTGAAGAACCTCAGAAAAATGGGAAAAAGCGACCTTTTTTTCATCAAAGGGAAAATATGACATCTACCGGAAATCATTGCAGTAGAAAATCACAATCTTTATTAGGTAAATCAACTATTTCTATGGGCCATTTTCGATAGCGAACCGTTAAATTACCAGAGGGTATACCAGTATACCACCATAAATGTTGCTATTCATAGGGGATTTTCTATTGCTATCCATGGTAGGCAATCCAGAGGGATGGTGGCAATGGGGAAATCCATCCACAAATATCGAAGTCCGATGTCTTCAACTAAGTTGGCTTGCAACTGGGTTGGGGTTTATGGGGGATTTAACCATAGTGAATGGAGTGAAACTAAACCAACAACCTTGAATCTTTCGGAGGCAAAGCATTTGATATCATTTACGGTAATGAATCGGGGACTGTTCCGTGCCAGCCTAGATACTTTAGATTACATTAAGGCCATACAATTCCATATTAGTTTTGTGGTCACCCTGGCGAGGAATAGTATCTTATCGAGGAAATTATACATACATATACATGTATATATAAATATATGTGTATTATATATATATGAACCACGTGCATAGTTATGTATATTTTATTATATAGATGAATCAAGAATCAAGTATCAAGATGTTGTTTTGCAAATATCAGTGATTCAGATAATGTTCATTCAATATCGAGCACCACATCGACCTTTATTGCAAAACAGGATAAAAACTGTAGACACCAAATGTCTATAACTGTCTCCATCAAAATGACCATATCAACATTAAATATACATATATACATATTCATATGAGACATGTACATATAGATATATATATACATACATATACATATGTATATGTATATATATTCATACGAATACATATAAATATATATAATATATAAATATATATATATGAATCATGTTTTCTTTGCTCGGCCCTTTTGAGTCTTGCATGAGACATACATCCGTATATATCCGCCGACCCCAGCTGCGCAAGGGGGAGCGCGTCAAGGATTACAGGTTTCCGTTTGCACAACAACAATAGTAACAACAACAACAACAACCACAACCACAACCACAGCCACAACCACAACCACAACCACCACCACCACCACCGCCACCTCCACCACCACCACCACTCCTCCTACTCCTACTCCTACTCCTACTCCTACTGCTACTGCTACTGCTACTGCTACTGCTGCTACTACTACTACTAGTACTACTACTACTACTACTACTACTATTACCACTACTACTACCACTACCCCTACCCCTACCCCTACCCCTACCCCTACTACCACCACTACTACCACTACCACCACTACCACTACCACCACTACCACTACCACTACCACTACTCTGCACCAAGACCTTCCGGAACCTTCTCCGGAACCTCTTTGAACCTGACCCGGCGCCTGCACCAGTACACACCGGAGCATATCTGGGCTGAAGACCCCATTAGCTTAGGCTGTTGGGGAAAAACATGACCATGAGGGAATCCCCCATGTTCCGCGACGAGACGATCGTTTCGGCTTGGCGTTTTTTCCGCGAAACACCGCCTCGGGCCTCCTGCCCTGTCCAAGGCGGACCGGACAACGACTGGACGCTGTTGAGGTGACGACGTTGTAGGTTATGGTTGCTGTATCTTTGTTGATGTCATGGGTTCAAAATTTTCTAAAGCCCCAGGGATGGGGATTTCAACCATGGCTTAGCCAGCAAGTTCTCCAAATGTTTGATTTGCGGTTCCAATCGCATTGCCGCAAACTCATCTATCCCAGTGGCATGCTGTGATCTTCACTTCACGATCTGCAGCTCGCCTAAAAGTCTAACTGAAACAGTGGTATCTAGTGGACTCACCATAAACCTTTAGTCGGCCAAGGGTCCAAGAGAACTGGAGGACTGATGCTAAGACGTCCGCTGTTCCCTAGCTATGTTTAACCACCCTTCCTGCTCATTGACCCCTCCTTTTTCTCGATTCGATCCACTGAGTTTCTCATGATACTTCTGAGTTCAGATTCTTTCGGTTTTCTCATGATACTTCTGAGTTTTTTGGGATGCTTCCCCCATATTTAATGTCGAGAAATTATATAATAATTCACCCACCTGAAAAGTTCACAAAAATTCGGCATTTTGGGATGCCATCCTGTACTTCACCATGGTTTGCTGGAAAAATCCACCACTTTAGCTCGATGATTTGTCCCATTAAGTCTGGATTTCGTTCGGGGACTGATTGCCTAGCCATGTTTCATGACACCGTAGGGTCCTATAAAAAATCCTGATTATATTTCCACGATATGCCAATGGTTGGCTCTCCACTGGTTAATAGTCGTATTCCCCCCTACATTTTGCTGCTAGTCAACCAGTCCAACTGTCACTTCTAGACGTCCAGTGCGTCATCCCAGCGGCCATCAGAAGTACTCGATTGCGTCTCCTTCAGCCTTCGGCCATCCCCTCAATGGTGTCCATGGCTATCCTCTGGTAGACTAACAGTTTGCGACCTGGAAAATCACCATTTAAAGAAAACAAAGGATAAATTACTTTCTTTGAGTGATCCCCAACCGATATTCTATCTGACATACATTCTGACATTCTATCTGGCATTCTTTGTGCCATTCTATCTCTGACATCTGGCGATCGAGGTTGATGTCTGGCAGTGCCCACTGAGATCTGGAGCTCGCGAGGAGGAGGAGGAGGAGGCGGGCGGCATGCAGCTCTGATAAAATCTGGAGACCCTCCCCTGGCAGGTGGGGAATCATCAAACTCAATGGGCCATGTTCAATAGCTATGCTAAATTCCAAGAGGGTAGTCGATGCAATCCGTATCTCCATGGGTGAATCCTCCGGAAGCAAGGAGATTCCAAGTGGTGGATGTGCTGTTGGGATGTAACTGTGGGATTTTACGCTTCAAACCAGGATGTAACAAATTTAACCCCTATAACTATGGTTGTATATCCACCTAGTTCACTGGAACTGCACCCCAAGTTCAGGTTTTGTTCAACAAGTTTGGCAATTGTGGGGTGTCTGGGATGCTTTCTTATTGGCTTTACCACATGGATGAATGGAATGGAAATTGATCAGATAATTACATATTGTTAACTGCTATTATTTGCAATGGATAACTAGCAGAATGAAAAGTTATAGCGAATTTGACCCAATGTGATTTTAATGGATGATGATAATGTTTCTCGTACTAGCTGCTATTATTAGGAATAGAGATGGATATTGGAAGGGAGGTGGCAAGAGGCAGAGAAGAGAAGATAAAGAGTCAGTAGGAAGAAGATCAAAGTGCGCGAAAAGAAAGTCGCGAAACGCTGTGTTTTTCCAATGTTTTGTGGCTCCGACTTCTTTTCTGGGGGTGCAGAATTGTTTTTGGCATTTTGTTTACAGTTTTGGATTTTTTTTTGGGTTTCGTGCCTGGTGTCATCGCAACAACAAACCTTTCCTATAGGTTTCCTATTTTTGGAACTTCCGCCACCACCTTGTGCGGTACAACTGTTACTAGCAATATTTCCAAGTACGAGTGTAATGGGACTTATGGATATAAGTTTTTTGATCGGAAAGCAATAATATAATAGGACTTAATTCATTGGGCGTAGGTAATGGGAACTATTACTATTTCCAATTACAGTTATCCACCCACTCTCTCATTACTTATATCCATCGGTGACTGTTGAACCATAGCTACAACCCACTTTGATATGGGACAATTCCTGGTTGGTGGTTTCAACCCCTCTGAAAAATATTAGTCAATTGGGATTATGAAATTCCCAACTGAATGGAACGTCATAATCCATCTTGCCATCCATTCATGTTGCAGTCACCACCAACCAGGTATAGACTTCCTCTCACCTCTTGTTCCCACAACTTCTGGATATCACCACAGATTTTCGATTGTCCATGGATTTTTCCATTGATTTTCAATGTGAGCTTTCTAGGATGATCAGCTACTAAGATCATTTAAGCACCCATGACTGGGTAGGAAGGGTAACCATACCACCTATAAAAATGGTGATGACTGGGGGATGGTTTATGACATTGTTTTACCAACATTATAGATCATGTTGTTTGTGTTTTGTAAGAAACCAATTGCTGTTCATTTTCCCATGATCCATGGATGAGTTACTGGACAATTTGATTTCACCTGATTTGGGGATGACTTGGATTTTATTTCCCAAAATACTATAATATCATTCCCCAAATCACCCTACCACTCATTTGGGATCAGCCTATTTATAACCTATAACATGGTCCTCCTAAAATACCCAAAATGGGCGTATATCATCATCCCCCAAATCAAATATACCACTGGTTCATCATACCCCAAATCAAATATAATATACCACTAATACATCATCCCCCAAATCAAATATACCACTAATACCATCAGCTAAGTTGGTTTATAACTCCAATAACTATGGTTTATGATACTCATAAGTATAGTATTTCTGGGGTTTATAAACCAACAAACATCACTGGGGGGGCCACATTGTATAGATGATGGTTCAATCCTCATATCTGACGTTTATGATTATAATATCCCCAAAATGGGCGTATATCATCATCCCCCAAATCAAATATACCACTGGTTCATCATACCCCAAATCAAATATAATATACCACTAATACATCATCCCCCAAATCAAATATACCACGCCACTAATGCCATCAGCTACAAAAAATGGTGATGACTGGGGGATGACCCAGTTCCGATCCATGGGATCCACGATGGCCTTATCCATCTGCACGCTATGTATCGCTGGAGGCTGCCCCGTGTGCGGCAGTGGTTGGTGAACACCTCAGAGCCACATGGAAAGGGCTGGGAAATCCCTTATGAAATCTAGGAAAATCATAGGAACATATTGGAAAATCATAGGAAAATATTGGAAAATCATAGGAAAATATTGGAATATCATAGGAAAATATGGGAAAATCATAGGAAAATATGGGAAAATCATAGGAAAATATGGGAAAATCCAGTCCAATTGGAAGTGTAAAAACAAGTATAAATTTCGGGAATTGCCGAGCCGAACCATGTTTGATTACCAGAGGGTATCCCTTCTGAAGGGGGACCCTCTAATTCATCACCCGTGTTGTCCGCACGAGATACCGTTGTTGGTCAGTTTCTTTTTATAGAATTTGAATCTGAATACTGACTAGCAATACTCAATAGACTTGATTCCATAAATACATACAAATACTGACTGGATTCTTAGTCAGTTTTCGAACAATTCTGGTTGGTGGTTTCATCCCCTCTGAAAAATATAAGTTCGTCAGTTGGGATTATGAAATTCCCAACTGAATGGAAAGTCATAATCCAAATGTTCCAGTCACCACCAACCAGAATTTCATGGATTGCTTCCATCAACACTGACTGTTAGTCGAGTCGTTTGACCATGTTTTTCCATCGAAAATGTCATCGAAAAATGTCATCACCGGCATCACCAAGTGACGTAGATGGCAATATTTGCCATCCGCCACCTTCACCTGCGGGATCTCATCGGGGTGATATCTTTGGGATCTAAGATTGGAAGGATATAGATCTGTCTGTCAGATGATTTTCACTGGGAGATGGCCATCAATATAGATAGTTTGTTGGTTCCAGGTGACATTTCGAGATCAATTCATAGAGAATGCCGACTGAATCACCAAACTTGCCTGTTGCAAGAAGCAAACAGAAAGTATGTTGCTGACAAAAACCATGCTTCGACCAAATTCAAAGAAAGATTCAGACCTACACTGGATTGAAGTAGGGATTTTATCAACGACCATGATGGTATATATGTGATTGATATTAAAATATATTAAAATCATCCTGAAGTAGATAGAGTATGGAAATTTCACTGGAAATTTCACAAACAAAATTCGCCAAAATTGGAATTCATTTTTTTGCAACAAAAAAACATGTGCTATCTATAAACTCCAGGATGACCAGTTTGTTGCCACAGTTTATAGGGGCGACCGTGGGTCGCACCCCGCCTTCACAAAATAGTTGGTGCCAGCCACCACCTGACGCCGAATGGCGGAATGGCGTGGGGATACCCGCCCGTAGCTCGCTGGATGGAAAATCATTGGGATTAATGATGATTAATAGGGATTAATCATTGTTATTTTCCCTATTATTATGCAAAATCATGGAACATAATAGGACTATCATGGTTAATCATGGTGATTAATGATGATTGATGGGAAATAGTCAATGGCCATGCTGGCCAGGAACCGATTGAGGACGGAGGTACCTGCCATAGAAAAAATGCCTATTTTTTAGGCCTAATTTTCAGGGAATATCCCCTCAAAATATGGCCAAAAATATGGTACAGTACCTCCATTTTAGGATCCTGAAATTCCCATTGATAATGTTTATAATGGAAAATCCCATCTATGAAAGAATGAGAACTGAAATTACCCCCATTAAAATGGAAATGCCCATATGATTTAAGCATGACAAATGGTGACTATGCAAAAACACTTGGAAGATAAGGGGAACATAATGGGAAACATGATGTACCTGGGTGCAGGCCAGGGATGACAAAAAAGGATATACTGTAACCATGTTGAGTTCACCTCCATAAGTTGGGATATAGCCCGTATACTCATGATATATTTACCACTTACTTAGCACACGCCTGGCGAAACCAAATAACGCCATAAGGGGTTTACAGCTGATAGTGCTAACCTTAAATCAACCCAGCAGAAGGTGTGCCGTTCCAGGCTTGGTTGGATCACTCTACCAGAAAAATGGGACTGGCGGATCCAATGAATAATATCGGAGAAAGTAAGCATTAGAATATCAAAGCTCCAGACCCCTTAAGAACATGTTTTTGAGAGGTCGCCTGGCTGTTGAAGTGAACACCGCCGCCCCGTGACATGGGAAGGATCATCACCCAGCCTGACTGGTAAAGCTCACGGCCTTGGCATGAATCTTCCAGCCGCCCATGTTTTCCAAAAGATACTCATGTTGATTGGATTCCACTGTTTGGGATCAAAGTGTAATTTTGTGCTCCTATGCCAAGCCAAAAGGTCGTAGCAAAGCTCAACTTGGTTTGGTCCATCTGATTTGAATCCCTATTTCTCAGTACCAGTAGTACCGCACAAGTCGGTGGCGGAAGTTTCAAAGATAGGACGCTATAGGAGAGGTGAGTTGTTGTGATGCATGGATGGCAGAGGGAATCCGCAGATGGACCGAAGGGTGGTTGGAGTTGTGTTGTTTTGAGGTGGTTGCAGTGGTCACTTCAACCACAAGTGCTGGATGTAGTGTGGTGTAGTGACGTAGCGTAATGTAATTGTAGTCGCAGTTGTAGTTGTATGTTCGTGTAGTTGTAGTTGCACTGTAGCTGTAGTTCATGTTGTTGCAGTTGCAGTTGCAATGTTGTCGTTGTAGTTGTAGTAGTTGTTGTTGCTGTAGTTTTAGTTCTAGTTGTGGTTGTAGCTGTAGTTGTATTGTAGTGTAGTTGTAGCTGTAGCTGCAACTGTTGTGTAATTGCAAGGTTGTAGTTGTAGTTGCAGCTGCACTAGTAGCGATTGTTGTTGTTGTTGTTGTTGCTGTAGTTGTTGTAGTTGTAGCGTATTGGAGTTGTAGTTGTGGTAGTAGTTGTAGTTGTTGTAGTTATCCTTGTGGTATTGTAGTTGTTGCAGTTGTTGTAGTTGTAGTAGTTGCTGTAGCTGTTGTAGTGGTAGTTGTAGTTATAGTCGAAGTAGCAGTAGCAGCAGCAGAAGCAGCAGCAGCAGGAGGAGTAGTAGTAATGGCAATAATAGTAGTAGTAATGGCAGGAGTAGTAGTAGGAGTAGCAGTAGCAGTAGCAGTAGTTGTTGTTGCTGTTGTTGTTGTAGTTGGACCACGGCTCATAATTCGCCGTGGTAAAATATGCATTTTTATCATTTTAGGGGTTATGATGGGGTGGGGTGGGGTGGGGTGGAAGGGCTAATAACGTCCTGCGTTTGCATTCGCACAGACGCGTCTTCTTACGGAATCAAAGATACGTCATGCTACGGATGCTACGTTGGTTGCACATCTGCACGCTACGGTTGCTACGTTGGTGGTGACATGTCTAACCAAAATGTGGTGAAGATCCGACTAGTTGACTCGCATTTTGCAGAAGAGAAAGAATGGCACTTTTGCAAACATTGAACACACACGACAACTAGAAACCCATGTAATTGCGATGATTTGAGTGTGACATACACATCATCGAAATGTCATTTTGACCCACGGCGAAATATGAGCCGTGAACCAAGTTTCTGTTGTTGTTGTTGCTGTTGTTGTTGTTGTTGGGAAGCTGCACCGACCGTACCTTGGGAAAAAAAGAAAATAAATCATCCAAATGATAATGTGTCATTCAATATGTCATCCAAAAGCATGGGGCTGCCAATTAGTAGGAAACTATTTGGGTTGGGGCAGGAGAGGTGGAAAACTAAGAAAAAAATGATCGTAAAACATTTAAATAGAAAACATATCAAAAATGCAACACATGCTTAACAATGATAATACATAGAAACAACTAAAAGACATAAAATAAAATACAAACGCATCATGAAAACATATTGAAAATAGAACAAAATCGGAAACACTATTGAAAAAATGGAGAAAAAACTCGAAAAGTAATAACAAAATCAAAAAATACATAAATAAATAAACAAATAAATAAGAAAAAATAACGATAATAACTAAGAAAAATAACAAGCGTGATAAGAACAACAATAGATTTTAAGAATTAAATAAATAAAACAAAAACATCTGTTTTTTCCGGGCCCTCCAAGGACTTCTTTCAAATTGTTTCTATTGGTTGCCCAGTTGATGCCCTACTGCGGTGAAGATGTGGCCCTGGGACGATCGTAAGTCCATGGAGGTGTCCATAAATGGGTACCCCAAAAACGCTGGATGGTTTTCGAACGATGGAACATCTTTTAATGAGATAAACACTGGATTAATATGGATTGATAATATTGGGGTATATGAGATAAACTATTCAAATAAACCCAGTTCTCATATACCCTCATCCTTTAGCTGGATCAATACCCCAATACTAATTTTGGGATGAGAACTGGGGGTCCCCCCATGACTTTGGAAACCTCCAAATGATCCCATTAAGTGATAAAAAGCGGCTAAACTAACACCACTTAGTCACTACTTAAGGGATGATCCAAGTAATTCCATCCTGAAAAAAACACACAACTAGTCCGGTCTAAATCCATTGGTTCACCATCATTTCCCCAACAGATTTTATGGTCATTTTATGGTTACCCTCTGGTAATTTGTTACATAGCTATGCAAAAAAAAACATAGAAATAGTTGATTTACCGAGCTTAAAGGTGGTTATTTTCCATAGGTATGTTAATTTACCCGAGGGTCTACCGGTATACCCCATTTTCAGACAGACCCATATCTCCCACTTTGTGGTGTCATCCCCGACCAACGAACCAACGCCAGGTGGCGGTGAACTCCGAAAAGAGGCCGTTCCAACCCGACGCTTGCGCCTGGTGTTGGATTAGTTGGGTAAGTAGGATTAGTCTAGTTATATGTTCTGCTTCAGGTTCCGATGATCCAATCTGATGTTTGATAAAAACGATGAAAATCCACCCATTTTCCAAAAATACCCCAGTGATTGACACAAAATACCCCAGTTTTCATGATGTTTCTGTCATGGTTTCCAAAGACCTCCAACCCGGCGCCCCCAAAACCCCACGCCTTTTCGAGCGCCTGATCCTAGGCGATGGTGACATTTTCAGACCTCAAAACCTCAGATTTTGTCATGATTGTTTTCATGATTTCTTGATGATTTGCTGATTTTTTTTAATGATTTGTTGATGATCTTTGATCTTTTCATATTATTTGACAGAAATACGCTGATGTTGATGATGTTTGATGATGTTTGATGATGTTTGATGATGTTTGATGATGTTTGATGTTGATGATGTTTGATGATTTTTGATCATGTTTGATAATGTTTGATGATGTTTGATAATGGTTTATCAATGTTTGTTAATGCTTATTACTGGATATTAGTGGATGATGATGATGATGATGATGATGGGCCAGTTTTTTGAAGGCCGCCTAGTGGCCCAGCATCACGAACCCACTGGTGAGGATTGGAGGTAGATGGAGGCCACGTGTTGGCACTCAAAAAGTTCAGGGAACATCACCCCAAATTCCAAATAATCCAGATTTAGTGAGGTAAATCCTGATATTAATGGATAAACATGATCATTATTTACCTCACAAAGTTCATGATTTAATGGGAGATATAATGGGATACATTGTGAGGTAAATCATGATATTCATACCCTCTGGTAAACTAACGTAACTATGGAAAATCATCATTTTGAGTTCGGCAAATCAACTATGTGTATGGTCATTTCAAGTTCGCAAACTGTTAGTCACTACCAGAGGGTAGGGGAAATCATCATAATGGAATCATTATCCCTATGATGAATCCCCTTATTATATGGTATCTGAATATCTTAATGATATTTAACTATATGAAATAATGATGATATTCCACTTATAATGATATCTAATAATGATATACACCCTTATTTTTTCTAGGTTTTCGAACTCACCATGGTCATACCGTGTTTTACCCATTTGTTTACACCCATGGAATCATCATAATGATGGGGATGGAATGGATATCCTCCTCGCGCGCGCCTTCAAGCCGCCACACATGCTTTGAATCTCCTCATTGGCCTCCTTGGCCGCGCCGGTGCTGCCGGGCCTTGGTGGTGGAGGTTTTCGAGTTGTGCCCTGGTGAAATGCGGAAAAACCATGGGAATTCACGATGGAAAAGGAAGAAAAAGGAAGAAAAATGGTGGAAATGGAGAAAAATGGAGGAAAATTGAAGCAAATGGAGCCTCAAATAGATGTGAATATGAGGAGATGTTGGATTTTAAGGGATCGATAATGTAGGATATCTTACCAGAAAAACTGGAAACAAGCCATGAAAAATTGAGGATTTACTGATTAGATTTTGAAGGATAGTAGGGACAACAATAGGATTTAACCATCAACAGTGGGGGATCGTTGAAGACTGTCACAAAAATTGCAGGTTAAGGTAATAAAGATGGAGATGTTTGAGCAAGAATGGAAGTTTCATCCAACGAAAGTGGAAATTGTTACGCCAAAAATTGAGAGTGCAGCCAGAAAAGGGTTGACTCTTGATCAAGAAGCGGGATTTCACAAAGATTGGGATTTAAGCGGCCATTTGGATAGGGATTCACCAACAAGTGGATATAGGGAGGTGGTAATGTAACAACTATATGGAGGATATCAACAAGGCTCAGCTATGGATTCCATGGCCGTCACGTCATCCTCTGGGTCGAAACTTAGAAGTATATGATCGCTCCCTTCCTAATAATGTGGGTAAAACGATGCCATAATCCCCCAGTAATCACCATCTTTGGTGGTATAGTTACCATTCCCAGTCATGGGTGGTAAAAATGGCATTGTTTTACCCACATTTTTTTAAATAGATCCAATACTTTCCATCAGTGGAATTTTGGTTTCACCCATCCAACTGTTTGGGATAGTTCTCATTAAAACAAAACCGCGTCATTACCAGATAAAGTGTTCAAAGCTATCTATAATTCCATGAAATTCTGGTTGGTCAAGAGCGGGATTCTCATATTGCATTGTTATAACCCCTAAATTATATATTTGATAAAGGCTAGTATGACCAGGTATAAAGATCATTTTGGAACACGAAAACCGGATCATTTCTGAACAGAAATTTACAGAATCAATGCCGCACCCCATGCACTTTGTGCGAGCCCGCGCAGTCGAAATGCATGTCAACTTGCACAACCATGTCCTAAGCACTGGTCTTGTCAGCTTGCTCCTTCTGTGGGGCATCTTCCCAGTCCCAAGCGAAGCTGAACCGACTCTCCAATTGGCTGCCGTATCGGAAGCAATAATTCTCCGCAGCCTTCACAATCTCATCTGAATTGTTCTTCTTCAAGTAAGCCAGCACACAAGTTTTTGATCGCAACTTGTTTTTGATTGCAAACTTCGCAAGCTCCACATGATCCATCGTACGTTTCTCCAAGATTACGCCTTTCTTGATATGAAAGGTTTTCGCTCTCTCTTTGTCTGTTCTGTTCGCACCGGCCTTTACACCTACGGTAAGAACCCCTCAGTGTGGACACACTGCCTGGGGAACAAAAAGCAAGCCAAGACTGACACTGCGAAATCAGAAACCAGCAAACCAGAAACTACGACACCCGGAAACTTGAACCTCGGGAAACCAGGAAACCAGGAGACCAGGAAACCAAATTATCCCGGCAAGAGGCCCCAAACAGTGTGGGGGAGTAGGAGGATAATGTATGATCATGTGGATGATGATGATGATGATGGTGATGATGATGATGGTGATGGTGATGATGATGATGATGATGATGATGATGCTGATGAAGATGATGATGGCGATGATCGTGCTGATGCTGATGAAGATGATGATGGCGATGATCGTGCTGATGCTGATGAAGATGATGATGGTGATGGTGATGGTGATAGTGAGGATGATGATGAGGATCAAAATGCGGAAGATGAAGTGGTGGATGATAAGGTGGATGATGATGTAGAGAAGAAGGAAGATGATGATGCTGAGGAGGAAAAAAAATGATGATGATGAGGATGATGATGATGATGATGGCTGGTGGATGATGGATGATGGATAATGGATGGTGGATAATGGATGATGGATGGTGGATGATGGATGATGGATGTTGGATGATGGATGATGGTTGATGATGATGATGATGATGATGATGGTGATGGTGATAATGATAAATAGATGATGGTGATGATGAGGGTGAGGATGGTGACAATAATGATGATGATGGTGAGGGTTTTGGTGGTAAGGATGATGATGGTGATGATGATAATGATGATGATGATGCTGATGATGGTCATGATGATGCAGTGATGATGATGACGATGATGAAGATGATGATGATGATGATGAGGATGATGATGCTAGTGATGCTGGTGATGCTGGTGATGCTGGTGATCAAGAGGACGATGATGATGATGATGATGATGATGATGATGGTGGTGAGATGAAGGTGGTGATTATGATAATGATGATCATGATGATGACGAGATGATGGTATTGATGAGGATGAGGATGGTGGTGATAATGATGTTGGTGGTAAGGGTGATGATGGTGAGGATGATGATGGTGATGATGATGATGATGGTGATGATAATGATGATGAAGAGGCTGATGATGATGATGATGATGATGATGATGATGCAGTGATGATGATGAAGTGATGATGATGGTGAGGATGATGGTGAGGATGAGGGTGATGAAGAGGAAGAGGAGGAGGAGGAGGAGGAGGAGGAGGATGGCGATGATGGTGATGATGGTGATGTTGGTGACGAAGAGGATGATGATGATGGTGATGATGATGATGATGATACAGCAATGAAGATGGTGAGGATCAGGGTGATGGAGAGGACGATGATGATGATGATAATAATGATGATGATGGTGATGATGATGATGGTGATGGTGGTGGTGGTGGTGATGATGATGATGATGATGATGGTGTTTGTGGTGGTGGTGGCGGTGAGGATGATGAGGGTCATAATGTGGAAGATGAAGTGGAGGAGGATTATAAGGTGGAAACCAGGAAGCCAGGAAACCAGGAAACCGAGGGAAGGAAACCAGGAAACCAGAACACCAAAGAAAGGAAACCAGGAAACCAGGAAACCAGAACACCAAAGAAAGGAAACCAGGAAACCAAGAAGCCAGAAAACCAGGAAACCAAAGACAGGAAACCAGTAAACCAGGAAACCAAGGAAAGGCGACCAGGAAGCGAAGAGACTAGGAAACTTTGGGAAAAACTATACCGACTGACGCGTTCAAGAATGATCACCACCTCCACAAATGAGTGAATCTCCACCTCCACAAAAAAATATCAAGGTGTCCAAGTTTTCTATCAATTTCTGGGTATTCCTTTACATACATCATTCCTCCATGAAAATAGCGCAAAATCCCCCCACTCTTCACCAGCCGGGTCGCCCTGACATGGCTACTGTTCAAAAAAAACAATTCAAGCACTCACAGCCGCGGACAGCATTTGAAGAGTCTGGGAAACCCAATGGTTAATCATCGTGTTCCCTACTGGGGATAGAAAAATCCGGCACCAGTTGATAGGTGGCTTATCCACTGTTTATAGGGTTTCAACCATCCAAGGTGGTGAAGGATTTCGCAACCATCCACAGTATCAAATGGCCATAATTTTAAGTGCAGTATAGCCCATTTCCAGACACTCCAATGTGTGTTATGCTTGACGCAATAAAGATGGGATATTTTCAGCAGCAAAAACTGTGGTTTCTTCATCAGGCAACATTAGTCGGAACGGATAAAATTCAAGGCCCAACAATTCTTCGTGTTCCATATTGGATCCACATGAAAACCCCTTCAAACACTAGTGTAACCCAACTAACCATCAATCAAGCCTCATTTATGGATTATGCAGATTAATAACCCCATACTATGCTGCCATCTCTTATGGATCGAAAAAATCCATGGAATGGTGAATGGGGGTGATTGAAAAAATGAAGGTCAGTTACCCGGCCTGGTAAACGTTTAGAAAAAACTGATGGGAAAATCACCATTTTTAATGGGAAAATCCACTATGTCTATGGCAATTTTCAATAGTTTTTTGTATGTTTACCAGAGGGTATCATAATATGATCGCGGTGAAATGTTACAGATCCTCTGTCAAACAAAACAAGATTTCGCCTAGCAATCCCAATCCAGTGCTAATTATGTGTATGCAGTGTATGCTGATACCCAGAGCATTTGGAAAACCTGCAACCTTGCTGAATCTGAATTGAATACAACTGGTTGATGCTTGGTGTCCCCGAAGTGTGAAACATTCTATTCAAATCTCAACTTCTGCCCCAGACTTGCAGCTGATACTCCAATCCCTCAAAGAAATTGGTAAAATGACTACTTGGAAGAAAGAAACATAAACCACCAGACTCATAAGCCATTTCTAGATGAGATAACCTTCTAACTGGGGACTGACGATCACCAGGGTTACCAACCAGTTACTAAGTGAAATGATCCTCTAAGTACCGGAGAAGCTCCAGCAGCTTTTCCGCTCGGCGATCGAGTTTGGGGCCAACTTTGGACCCCGCGGCCCTTTTTTAAACTGAAATTGAGCTCACAAAGGGGCCTCCAGACGTTCGAAACTGGGGCATAACCGGCATAACCCTGGATGGGGAAGCCCTTGGCGAGTGGTCAATAACCATGGTGATCCATGGGATGATCCTCCAAGTATCTGCTATGGCCGTGGCAGGTCTGTAGATGACGGTAACCCTGAAAAATGGATGGGTTTTCCATAGCTAGGGTCTATGATGACCAGAGCGTAGTATCATGTAAAATTCATGGGAATTGATGATAAAGCAGTGGATTTGAGGCAGGCCTCATCTTCAGACATTGCGCCATTCAAAGTCTTTTCAGGTGGTGATAGCGGCATCAATGGATGCCCGGCAAGAAACTGATTACTTCTTCCTTCGTTGGTGGACAATATTCCCATGGCAAGAAGTAAATGATGCAACCTACTCTACCAAGGTTATCCAAGGCTTACCCAATCAAATGGACAGAATACCAGCAGGATTTCCACCCAGAAGGTTTTTAGACGCCATAAATTGCCATGGCTCTTCCCAGATATGGGATATATATGTCAACAGCATATCATGATGTTCCATGATATTCCCACTTCCCATATAAGATAATACTAACTATATTATAGATGATTACAGTAAGATATTACAAAAAAAAATCTGTCCACCATCTGTCCAAAGAAGAAAGTGTATTCCCATTAATGGTTCCAGCAAATTTCCAAAGAGCTATTAATGTTCCCATTAAGAATATTCCACCATATGTCCAAAGAACTTGCTAAGAGAGTATCACGGGTCTCTTCAACTTCCAAACAATGGCATCTGTGGCTTAAGGCCGTCTCTTGAATGCAAGGTTCTTAATAATTCCACCATTCATAGATTACCATCAAAAAAAACCATACAAAGTAGAAACCATCGAATTCAGCCACTTATAAACCAACTGAACGCTATGGACTGGGGGCCCCATCCTGTTCCAATTCCACCATAGATTACCACCTTCTTTTGCACTCGCACTGTCGGCGCAGGTGTCGGGTAAATCGTCTCTACGGCTGAAGTTGCTCCTCAGGCTTTCTTGCACTGGATGAGATCGGGGTTGGCGCAGCAATCGGCGTGGGTGTAATTCCCTACACTGCAACAAGCATAGCACGTATCTTGGTCCTTGCCACAAGTCTCGTGCCTGTGGACCGTGTTGGTATGTTTAACGCAGTCCAAATCTTTCTTCTCGCAGGCCTTGGCGCACTTCTTTAACTTCGGATGCTGAAGTAGGCGGTTGTCTTCATTGACCTCGCTCCCGCTCATGTTTTGCAAGCTGCCTGTAATGCTGTTGCTTGCAACTCTCATGCTCATTGCAAGGACGACGCAAGGGAACAAAAGAGACTTGAGACCCATTGCAACCTTCTAAAGAGCCTACACCAGCGAAAAAGCCTTTTCCAGGCAAGAGGCAGCTACGGAAGAAAGTAAAGATGCTGCAAAATGACACAAACTTCCAAGCTCAAACTGAACGAGCTACTTCTGTAGCTTTCAGCAAGTTCTTCCCATCCAAAAACCGCGCCTAGTTGTTGCCGCAGCTGCGCCTCCAACCATGCTTTGTGATCCGGCAGGCGGCCTGGCGCAAAACCATGGGAAAAACCTGGGATGTCATGGGATTTTTACATCAAAAATGGTGATTCATTGGGATTTTGACATGATTGAACCAACAAAACTTGGGGATTTGGGGATTGAAGAGCAAAGTTGATACACAGGGCCCCGGGTTGTCACGGGTGGGTTGGTGGGAGACATAACTATAGTAACTGGGGAGCCTCACCTTGGGTTGAGTATAGACCAACCACTTAAACAATGGGGATATGATGGGAATATCATGGAGATGGAATGGGTTATATAGCCAGTTTGCACAGAAATGGGGGGATTTACCTCAATATTATATATATAGAGATTTGATGATTATGGATCCTGTAAGTCGCGGTTGATGATTTGATGATTTTGAAACTCTTGTTCATCTCATTCTCAAAGTAGCTATAGCCCAAAAAGAAAATGGGAGGGGTTCACCCATCACGCTCGGCTTTTTTGCACACCGATCAACCCTCATGAATGGGGGCCTTTGAAATCCCTATTGTGAGGGAGTATCTATCCTTACAATCCACTTACTAAGGTTACAATTCACTTACAGAATGATGCACATCTAAGTAGGGATCCTATGTTGCGTCTGTAGTTGGTAAACGATCCAATCTGGCCCAAGAATCCACTAAGTGCAGATATGTCTCTGTTATGCCCCATCTGTTGCATATGGGATTCGCTCAATATGATCAAAGTTATTTTATCTGGTTGGTGGTTTTAACCATCTTGAAAAATATGACTTCGTCAATGGGGTTGGGATGACATCCCATATATGATGGAAAATAATCAAAATGTTTGAAGCCACCAATCAGTATAATATGTGTTGTATGTTTTTCTATCTTGCATTGTGCATGGTCAACATCTTTGTCCATCGTATTTGTTTCTTGCAGCAACAAGTGAAGATGTCACACAAATGTCTGGGATATCATGTTTTGATCATGCTTAATCATGGGATGTTTTGATCTGGGATAATGTCAACTCCGGATGAATAAACCATGGTTTAGGAAAATTCTGGGGGTACGAAATAGTCACTTTATATGACACATAAATGGTATCCCCCCGAATTCAACAGCCGTTTGGGGTTTATTAATCCAGGGTTGACATGTTTCAATGGGATACTGGTGGCATCAAACATGGCTTAGGCTGGAAAATCCCAGAGCCCTAGTTCCATGGTGAAGAAATGGTTCCCACGTGTTTCACTGATAACTGGGATATATATGGGGGGTTCATGGGGTTTCCATAAATGGAGGTACCCCAAAAACGCTGGATGGTTTATTTCATGGAAAATCCCAAACTAAAATGGATGAGAACTGGGGGTACCCCCATGACTTAGGAAAGCTCCATATCCGGGAAATAACTGGCTTGTAGTAAGTTGTAATATGCGTGTGACTTGAACATAGCACTCACTAGTGACCACAATTTACAGCAGCAAACATGAGCTGGTTGGTGGTGCAATAACCATCTTGAAAAATATGAGTTCGTCAATGGGAAGGATGACATCCCACATATGATGGAAAAATAATCCAAATTTGTGAAACCACCAACCAGTGAGGCTTTGAAGTTGTGCTTTTTGTTGTGCTCTAAATTGTGCCCTTTTTTAGCGAACCCGCGGTGCCGTTTTTTGTGCTTCGTAGTTGTGCTTTGTGCACCACGAAGAAAAGCACGAGAAAGGCACAACTTCCATGTGGTGGGGAGGGGGCCTGGGGATGCCAGGCACAGTCCAAAGTTCTCGTGCTACTTTTCGCCTTCTAGTTATGCAGCCGCTGTTTGATGCTGTTAGTGGGGGCTTAGTCCAACTTATGACCCACTTACTGCCATCTTAAGTAGGAAAAATGGCATGACATGCATACACTGCGTTCGTCCAAGCATTCATGCATGTCACTTCCATCATTCATCTGGGCAAATGGCTCTAATAATTCTCAAATCAAAAGGATTCGCCATAGTTCTGGCTGAATTATATACCCTCTGGTTATTTGTTAGATAGCCATGGAAAATCACCATTTTTAATAGCTAAACCATCTATAAATGGGCCATTTCCCATGGCTATGTTAAATAACCAGATGGTATAATAATTGGCGTTTGAAGTTCTTAAATGGTTGTTATCATAGTTCGGCCATTTGACAGATGATTCCGCCCCCCCAAAAAAAAAACTCATTCCAGTGACGTTGCAGTGAATTCGTGATCAAATTCATCCAGATCTGATCCGATTCTACCCAGTATATCTTGATTATACTTGTGTTGATGAAAGTCCCAATGTTGTTGGATAATTCCCATGTTTTTTTTGCCATGGCTCTTTCTAGGGAAACCATAGGAAACCATGATGCAATTCATCTAAGTCAAGTTTTTTTGTGGGGCAATCCCATCAAGAACAAGGATCCCCCCAGCATTTCTATTGGTGAAATTCTCGATATTTTCTTGGATCCATTAAAAATCACCAACGTTTAAATTCCATGTTTTTTTACCCTCTGGTTATGTCAAAATAGCTATTCAAAAATGGCCATAGAAAGTTCGTTGATTTTCCCATTAATAGCATGGTGATTTTCCATAGCTATGTTAGCTTACCATGTGTTTTTAGATGGGATTTCATGGTTGGAGCATCCCCATAGTATGGATTTTGATGGGATATCCCATTTTTAAAACACCACGGTGGAAATCTTCCCCAAGCCCACCTAACATGCGGCTATGCTCCAGGAGTTGCTGACAGCTGAATTCGATGTCTTCACAGTACCTGCTGCGACTTTTCCATGGGAGAAAACCCATGGGAAAAAGCTGAGAAAAACATGGAAAAAGATGGAAAAAATACGGAGAAACCATGGGCAAACCATGGGAAGAATGGTGATATAGTGGATAGATCATGGGAATATCGTGGGATGACATGCTTTTTCAAATATGGATACCCTTGGCTCCCTTCACCGCGCCTCTATCTACGTCAGAATCCCCAATAACCCAGGTAGTATACCCTCCGGTAATTTAACATACAGTAGCTATTGAAAATTGTCATTTATAGTTGATTTACCCATTAATAATGGTGACTCTATAGCTACGTTAGTTTACCAGAGGGTAACTCCCTGTAAAACCAACCCATCCTATCCATACTACCAGGGTTATATTCATCCACACGTTGCCGCAAGGGGATGATATAATAATCCGCAAGGTGTTTTACCCTTCGGCAACCACGTAAGTACTATAATGGCTCACCTATAATTGTAGTAAATAATACCTATAAGAATTATAGTGCTATAATAGCTATTTTAAAAAAAATACCCAGCCATGAATTGAATGACTCACCTATCCACGATTGACGCAGATTTTTGGGGGGGGGGACGAAGAAAGCCATACCCTCCACATTCACATCAAAACATGGAGGCTCCACCGGCAAAAATTGTTTTTTTTCACCAAGCATAGATGAGATTTAAATCTGAATATACAAGGTGGTACCCCAGGTCATTGGCTAAAAAAAGTTGGTCTATAAGTGACTTAAAAAAATAGGGTTTATTGCAGAATATTGCAGATATATCGAAGTACTATGTAGTTAGATGGGGTAGATTGGGAGAACACCCCAAATGTAAGCAACTAGAATGAGATGTAATGGTGACACAATGAGAATAGAATATGGAATTTCTAATTTAGATGCCCTCCGGTAGTCAAACATGGCAATGAAAAATCAAGCATTTACGGATGATTTGCCAAGTATCCCTTCATTTCTAGGCTATTGTCCATTGCCACGTTTGATTACCGGAGGGTAACCCATGAAAAATATCCCATATATTAACCGATATTCACCCTAATTTATGGTTTATATTAACCGATATCCCATATATTAACCCAAGAAATATCCAATCTTCATCCGTGATTCTCCATGAACCAGCCACGTTTCCCATCTAGTCTCGATGATTTTCCCTGCGCGCCGAGTTGCTGCCACAAGGGTAGCACATCGAAGGGTTGTTCCACACGAGAGCCGATGTCCTCGATACCTCCGGGTGTTTGTCATCAAAAATACCCCTAAGAAATATCATCAGATCTATGGATAATGATATATATATATATATATTTCGTGGGTTTTTAATGGCTTAAGATGGCTGAAAGGGTTTAAGAATGGATACTTCATGGGATTTTTCATGGGATTTTTCACGGGATATCGTAGATGGGATACCCTCTGGTGTCATCAAACGCGGCAAGCTGGGAGATCCACTGCCGCGTTGGATTACTGGAAGATCATGAGGATATACAGTAACTGGTTGGTGGTTTTTCGCCCTACCCCTCTGAAAAATATGAAAGTCAACTGGGAATGAAGAAATTCCCAATAGATGGAAAGTCATAATCCATTCATGTTCCAAACCACCAACCAGATAAGATTGTGTTTTTAACAGGGATGAAGGCTTTGATATGATTCATATTGTTGATGTTCTTGTTACAGTATGGTTGTTGATATCAATTGTTATTGTGTTTTGTGGTCATTGCTACTGTCCGAACGGTCAACACTGGGGATTGTGGTGGGTAATATCTATGGATGAAGCATCAACACCAGCGATTAACCAATGCAACGGGGCGTCTTTTTGACAGGCTTATTCTCAAAATGGGGCGTACCCCAACGGCAATTTGAAGTGAGCCATTAAAAAATACCCCTATCCCGGCCTATCCCGTCTCAGTATACTAGTTAGTTGATAGGTAGGTTTCCCTACTGGTTATCATCATTCTCAACGAAATAGGTAGTATAATTCCCATAGTAATTCCCATTTACTAGGTTACTAAGTTAGTTCTATTTCATTGAGAATTATGATAAATTTATACTTGTTCCTCTATTGGTAGATTAGCCAATCAACCAGTGGCTCAAGCAATGATGTCCAGGAATCAAAGCGATGGAATGGGATCACAGATTTTGAGACTCCACAAGTCGTGCCTTGGATGTTTTGGTTCAAGCTGGACAATCCAACGTGTTTTAGATGATTTTCCCAGCAAGAAACCTCCATTTATAGTGGATTTTCCCGTATTTTCCTATGATTTGTCCCAGGGTTTACATGTGATTTCCCCCGTTTGGTGACACCGTTGCGGGTACTTCAGCCTCGCTGAATCCAACATCGAGTTTCCAACAGTTGCGGGTGGGTTTTTCAACATGGGAAACATGAAAATCCGCATCCCACGGTTCCAGGGTTCCAGAAACTAAGAAGCAGTTGTATCATTATATAATATATATATATATATCATAAAATATGTGTGTATTAACATAGACCCTGGCAGATAGTGGTTGGAACATTAGTTTCAACACGTTTCATTTAAAGAACGGCTATTTTCAGGGTATATGTTAATTTACCAGAGGGTAAATGATGTCACGATTACCATTATCAATATTATCGTCATTATTGTTATTACCAGTTATTTCCAATACGATCATAGCTATGATTCATGGCTATGATCATCATTGTTGTTATGATTAGCATGTTTTTCATTACTACTATCACTATCGTAATAGTATAATGAAAAAATGATAATATTATAATGATAATATTATCATACTATCACTATCTACTATTGTTATGATAATGATAATATTATAATATGTATATACACACATATCATATCCCCATTTGGTGGATCAATTCCATGCCATGTTTGGATTGAACGATATGAACAAAAATGAGAAAAAAAAACTGCGTTGAAACTGCAAACATCTGTATACCATCTGGTTATTTAACATAGCCATGTAAAATCACCATTCTTAATAAGTAAACCGTAAACCATCTATAAATGGGCCATTTTCCATGGCTATGTTAAATAACCAGATGGTAAATCACAAAAAAAAAACGCGCAAATTGCGTCATCGGAAAGATCATCCTCGCACCCTGCGGCACCTAACATGAAGAAAGAGATCACCAAGGTCATCGGCATTGTGAGGCACTGAGCGAAAAGTCTCGTTTCACCAGCTAGAACCCCTTTAGTTCACCAGCTACAACCATGAGAAATGGTGGTTTAACCATGAGAAATGGGGGTTTAATAGGAATATAATGGGAAGATCCTGGAAATATCATGGGATAAATGACGTACGGCCAGGGGTGCCATGGATGACAAAAATGGGTATAACCATGGTGAATTATCACCTAGAAAATGATGGATATATAACCCACTTACCCTCTGGTAATTTGTTACATAGCTATTCGAAAATAGCCATAGAAATAGTTGAGTTGCCGAACTTAAAAATGGTGATTTTCCAGGGCTATCTGAGTTTACCAGAGTGTATAATTAAGTGGAACTGCACCCTCAAGGAGATTGGGAAGAAAACATGGCAGAAATGGCTGGGATCCAGGTTGCTTCACGTGGCTGGGAAATCCATCCATAAAATATGGGAAACTCATAGGAAAATATCGGAACATGTGGGAAAATCATGGAAAATCCACTATAAATGGAGGTGTTAACGGGAAAATCATCTATGAATCAGCCATGTTCCATTGCCACGTTTGATTACCGGATGGAACATAGTAAAAACTGCGCATACGCAGCTGGCAAACAGATGGAAGCCATGTTAAGTTACCTTGATTGGAACCCTGATTCAACGGACAGAACATCTACAGGGTACCATATGATTTTCATCTATAGATATCTATAGTCTATAGTACAGTACTGACCATCCAAGTATTCCAGCTCTGCACCATGGAAAAAACCATGTTTTGGGGGATTTTCCTATGGAATAAACCAGGCGCCCTTCCCGATGATGGTTGACAGGTCTGTGCATCCCGGACAGGGCCCAGCAAGGGAAACATCGCAAAGGGCAGCGCGTTGCACCACACGAAGAGGAAACCTCGGATCCCCAAGAGGGATCGAGATCCATCGAGATCCGGGCCTGGTTTCGGGTACCTGGTTTTAGTGGGATAAGTATGGAAAATGAATAGGCTTAATCATCTTAATCCAGGGGTTGTAACTGGTCAAGCCTAGTTTTTGTCCCCATGAAAAATGGGGTCATTCCACATTTGCCTGGCTTATAACGGTTATCAAACACTAAGTGGGATTATCCTCCAAATATTCCCCTAACATTAACAAGGCACCCCGGTAGTTGGGGAGAGAGAAAGAATTTCAGATGGAAATCTGACTTTAGAATTCATCTGATGGTCTACTCTGATTTAAAAATTCACCTTCTAATATTAACAAGCTATATAAATTAATGTGGTAAAATCTGACTCCAAAATAGAGTTAAGAATCACTTTTCGGCATCGTTTTGGGTGTAAATTTCATCAATACTCATATTTACCCATATTTAAACATGGGTGTAAAGTTATTAAATGGCTTGGTCACTATAGTCATTAAAAAAAAATACTTTACTTCGTGTGATCCCCACCATGACATTTATACATTTTCTTACTGGCAAATCTTCTGGCATTCTATCTGACATATCTTCTGACATTCTATTTGACATTCTATCTGGCATATCTTCTGGCATATGATCTGGCATATCTTCTGGCATATCTTCTGGCATTCTATCTGGCAAATCTTCTGGCATTCTATCTGGCATATCTTCTGGCACTCTATCTGACATATCTTCTGGCATTCTATCTGGCATATCTTCTGGCATATATTCTGACATATCTTCTGGCATTCTATCTGACATATCTTCTGGCATATATTCTGACATATCTTCTGGCATATCTTCTGGCATATCTTCTGGCATATCTTCTGGCATATCTATCTGGCATATCTTCTGGCATATTTTCTGGCATTCTATCTGGCAAATCTTCTGGCATTCTATCTGGCATTCTATCTGGCATATCTTCTGGCATATTATCTGGCATTCTATCTGGCATATCTTCTGGCATATCTTCTGGCATATCTTTGACATTCTTTCTGACATTCTTTCTAACTTTCTTCTGCACATTCTTTGTCCCATATCTTCCTACATGAGGTCCGGCAGGGAACACTTGGCGTGGATACTCGCGGTTGAGGTCCGGCAGGGAACACTGGGCGTGGATGGTCGTGGTTGAGGTCCGGCAGGGAACACTGGGCGTGGATGGTCGTGGTTGAGGTCCGGCAGGGAACACTGGGCGGATGGTCGTGGTTGAGGTCCGGCAGGGAACACTGGGCGTGGATGGTCGTGGTTGAGGTCCGGCAGGGAACACTGGGCGTGGATGGTCGTGGTTGAGGTCCGGCAGAGAACACTGTGGATCGCGGGTCGCAGTTGAGCAAGGACGACGAGGACGACGAGGACGACGAGGAGGAGGAGGACGAGGAGGAGGAGGAGAGGAGGACGAGGCAGGAGGAGGCGGAGGAGGAGGAGGAGAAGGAGGAGGAGGACGAGGAGGCAACTGACATAAAATCTAACAACCCTCACCTGGCAGGTGGGGAAAAAACATTATTTACACACGTTTAAGCCCCTGTTTAATGGATTGGTCACCATAGTCATTAAATTTTGGTTGCTTACATCAAATAGTGAATTTAATGTGATTTTCTCAGTATTGAATTACCCCAATGTACAAACAATTGTAACATACCCCATGTTAAAACGTACCCAATATTAACATTGGTTACCCTCTGGTTATTTAACATAGCCATGGAAGCCATGGCCCATGTATAGATGGTTTACCTATTAAAAATGGTGATTTTCCATGGCTATGTTAAATAACCAGAGGGTAAATCCTATTAAATCCCATTAGATCCCACTAAACCACCATAAAATCCCATTAAACCACCATTAGATCCCATCAAACCACCATATATTGAATGACCCCCCAATGTTGGGGACCTCTCCTGAAAATCCAATACGTTCCACCGTTCGGCTTTCTTTGGTGCAAGCTCGCTAGTTGATTCGGGGGAAGATGTTATATATATATACAGTAATCAGTATATATATATATATATACACTATCCCCATAGGATATCCAATATATGAATATTATCCTATAAGTATAGTTACATATAGATGAATATCTTATGAATATCATATGAATATCCCCAAAAAGGATGTATTGCTTTACTAACATTACACAACATGAGTCGTTAACATCGCCACCCAGCAGCGGCTGGTGAAGCGCGTGTAGGGCGTGTAGATGGGCGTGCGCAAGATCTTCTCGCACGCGCCCAACCTTGCCCCGGTGGTTTAAAAAAAGAAACGGCCAAAATCTGGGACTACAGCAGGAAATAGTGAAAAATGATGAAAAATGTGGACTTTGAAGCAAGCAAAACTGAGTTTTGACCAGAAATGAGGAATTGGCCAGCTAAAACCCGGGAGTTTACGAGCAAAAATGGTGGATTTAAGCAACAAGACTGGGCAGTGAAGAAACTGAATTTGGAATTTCAGCATCGAAGTTGGAAACAACGGAAGCCAGTGAGTGATTGGACCCCTCAGCGAACCAACTGGTGGCACTCATTTTTCAGATACCAAGTTGCTGTTACAAACAACACTCACAGGATCTGTTGGCAAGTCGAAAATAGAGCTTGGAGATGTTATTTGTGGTTGGATGAGTGAATTGTTCTGCAGCGCATTTCCATCTAACACTGAACCAAAGGAGGAAAATCATGCTCCTCACCCGTTTCTCGAGGTTCGGTTCAGTGTGAGTTTCCAGAGGAAAACAGTGAGGTACCATTCTTTTTTTTGGAGGCCGTAAGCAAAGCCTGGCTTTTTGTCAGTTCGTTAAATGAACGATTCAACCAGCAAGAGAGAATGGCCCCCTGCTTCAATATCTTCAGTTCATTCCCAATGATTCGATCAATGTCTGCACCACGATCAACCACTGCTCCGGGAGACACGTTGTGCAACTTCATGATGCTACCTGGTGAGGTGTGAATTTCACAAGGGGACCCAGAAAAACGCTGAAAAACAATGGATCAACGTCTGATGGAGGCCCTCACAAGTGGAAACTGATACTAGCAGCTACTAGCAGCATATCATCTGAAGCCTCTGTGGTTTTGGAGCGTAAAATTGCTCATTTACTTCGATGATTTCCTCCTTAGAAATGGTGATGTTATGTGATTTTCCATAGTTTGGTTAGTTTACTGGAGGGTAAAGAGTGATTCATCAGGATCCATAAGCCCACCATCAGGTGAAGTACTCCATCATAACACCATTCATATTTTGCCCCCACTATGCCCCACGTATCTTTGACCAACAAACGATCCAGATCATCTATACATGTTTATACATGTTTAATCTAAGATACACAGCCAATTCATGTTTGGTTGGCTAAAACATGCTAAAACCACCCATTCTCTGGATAAATGTCGTCATATTTCGCTCACCTAAAAAGTTTGGCCCTGAATTGGGATAGTTACCCAACCATGACGACGAGGTCGTTACAATGTACCAAGTTTTCCCATGACGAGTTCCTGACAGATTCCAACTCCCAGAAGTTGTTTCTTTTTCCAGCTCTTGGGGGTACATCTCCCCTTCAGAACATGAACTTGTTGGTCAAATATGTCAAATCTCAATCTTTGACTGCTAAAAAAAACACACAGAAAACGCCCATTATTTCTTGGTCAGATCCCCATGTTTCTTGCTTCAACGCCCCATTTTTGCTATCACATTTGCTGGTCATAAACCGAGGGTCGATCCAATTCGTTGGCCGCCGGAGGGTCGAGACCCCCCAACTTCGCGATGGAAAAGACCTGGGACCCGGGGACCGGCGGACCGGTGCAGCTCCATAGGCCATTTTGTTGGGAAATCCCAACGGGGTGATCCAATGTAGTGGTTGCTGGTTGGTGGTTGACCTACCTACCATTGGTTGGGAATATACTGTTAATATATGGTTAATATTAATGGTTATTATATGGTTAATGATGGTTAATAATCATCTGGTTGGTGGTTTTTCGCCAGCTACCCCTCTGAAAAATGATGGACTGAAAGTCAGCTAAGATGATTTTCGATTCCCAATATGAATGGAAAGTCATATCATCCATTCATGTTCCAGTCACCACCAACCAGATATAGTTATATGATGTAATATCCATTATTATTATCCATTATTAACCATTATTCACCGCTATTAACCACTATTAACCACTATTAACCACTATCAACCACTATCAAAGTATCGGGGCTCGAGTCTATCCGCTCTAATGAAAGGGGGTGAAGTCACCAAAAATCGGGGATGATACGGCCCAATCTCTGGAAAATTGCTGGGAAAAGATGGGAAAGGCTCGTCCCAAAAACGAGGACGAACCTTAGGCAAAATGGGCTGATTTCTGGGCAGGGCAATCGTTAAGTTGAGATTTCACCAACAAACATGGTGGAAAACCACCAGTGCTTGTTGGGAAAATCATAATGAACAGGTGCACTCTGGGAAATTGCAAGAATTTTAATGATGAAAAACAATTTTCCTTTTAAAAAGATATGGAAAAAACTGGTGAAAAAGTGGTGGATATCCTCCAAACTGTAGATACATCTGGCTTACAGTACCTAAAACATTGCTGATTGGTGGGTGTCCCAAAAATATGCTCGCCATCTCAACCAATCATCCCTTTGGAATGGTTAAGAAACTTCAAGACATACCCTCTGGTAATTTATAGCTATTGAAAATGGCCATAGACATAGTGGATTTTCCCATTAAACATGGTGATTTTCCATAGTTATGTTAGTTTACCAGAGGGTATGTGAAACCACCAACCAGATGGTATCATTCAATTTGTTAAAGTTTCTTCGAAGGAGAGGTCTGTATTCGCGGTACACAAGTGGCTGGTTGATTAGTCCAGCTAGGATTGTCCCGACAGTTTCAAATGGGGGACACCCAAATATACCCTCTGGTAATTTAATATAGCTATGGAAAATGACCCATTTGTAGCGGATATACTTTTACAAAATATTACAGAATGGTAATTTTCAAAAAATTACTAGAGGGTATATGATCATATATGAGAATTTCGGAACATCTGAAAAACCATGGACTCCTAGAAATACAATATAGAAACCATAGATAGAACCATAGTGAAAATCTATGATACATGACAAACCCTAAATATATACACATATACATATATACATATACACATATATGCATATATATATACATACATACATACATATATATACATATATACATATATACATGTATACGTATATACATATATACATATATACATATTTACATATATACACAAATACACATATACACATATACACATATACACATATACATATATACATATATACATATATACATATATACATATATACATACGCTCTGGAAATATATCCAAAAAAACAAGTCTCTATTATCATCTTCCCATGTAAGTTGCCACTTTTTGCGGCGCTTGCATTGCAGAAAGCCCATCTTTCATGGGATGATCTGTGTTGACACACCGACACATCATCACCATTGTTTCCATATTATGCATACATATATATATATATGTATATATATGTATGTATGGAGGTTTAATGGAAACAATGGTGATGTTTTTTCATAATGGTGATCTATATGGAAACTACGACTATATTAATCATTGTTGATATATATGGTGATGTTATTATCAATGGTGATTATAAATGGTGATTATACATGGTGATTATAAACTATCTATATGGAAACTAATGGTGATGTTATTATATATTCATTGTTGATTATAAATGGTATCTACGAAAAACTATTGGATCACTGGGTTCGATGTTTCTTCCCGTCATATGGTAGTTTCATAGGTAACCCATCACCATTTTCTTATGGGGGATCCCCAGTCGTCACCATGGTTGTTTCAATGCTAAGTCATGGTCTTTCCTATCCGGCCGCGCAGAGAACCACAAAGATTTGGTTCATTTGCCATGTATCTCCTATATAATATTACCATATAGAGTAATTAGATGTCCAAAAGTCATCAACGAAAAGGGAACTGGATTTAACTTACATCCAGTTCTAATTATATAGACTTACATCACCCAAAAACCATATATCTGGGTAGATTATAATATTTCACTAACCTGAATAGTTCGGCCATTTGGGGACGATTTCCCTTAAAAACCATGTTATAATTTACCAAGATATATCCACAAAAAATCACCCAAAAAGTGGGGATCTCCCTGGGTCCAAGCCACTGAGCTGTTCAAATGTTGCAGTTCATGGAGCACTTGCAGCGGTCGATTCGCAGCTGACTGGGACAAGATCCGTTCCTCAGGGCTTCGGGGCTTTTGACCGAAACCGGTGTCATCAAACATACCTATAATTAATGGGGTATATGACGGTGTATACTACTACTATAAGTTATGGAATATAACATGATTGTTATCAAACATAGTATTTATCATGGTTTGATTATATGATAATAGTCATATAATTAAATGGGGTATATACTACTCAATGGTTATTATAGTATAACTATAGGTTATTATCATAGTATAATCTAATATAGGTTATTATACCTATACTTCTCTTATATAATCATGGTTAATTAATATTCTGTGGTGCAATAACCATCTTGAAAAATCATGGAGTTCGTGAATGGGAAGGATGACATCCTATATATGAAATGGAAAATAAAAAATATTTGAAACCATCAACCAGGGAAGTTCCACAACACAATGGCTATAAAAATGGGAAAATCCTTAATTACTATGGGGAATTTTCCATGTTTGATTACCGGAGGGTCCAAGTTCAAAAAAGTGCAAAAATCATGCTGGTTAGAACTAGAATCTAGAAACTCAACGATTCAATGGCAACTCCAGGATCCTAAATTGGAGGTACATACCATATATAAGGCCTATTGTTCAGGCCTATGTAAGTGAATATCCCAACAAAATATGGCCAAAAATATGGTACTAACGTACCTCCATTTTAGGATCCTGGAATTTCCATTGAACGATGCAGATCATGTTTCTGAGATCACAATTGATCCAATGGATTTCGCATACCCAATCCGGCTAAACCATCTGGGGGATTCTACCATCATCTTTTTTAGCCGGTGCAGTCAACTGCACCCTCTGGCAATCTAAGAGTTGATCTATCCCAATGTTCATTTATCTGGGTAAATTACAATAAATCACTCAACTGAAAAGTTCGGCTATTTTGGAATGATTCCCCTTACTAACCTTTAATCCAGTAAGGTCGCAGTGAGGTTGTTATAATTCACCCAGATTTCTGGCCTGCTCCTGGCCAGCTCTCCCTGACCGATCGTCCGTTCTGGGTTGACCAACCACCACCTGACTCTCTTCGACACATTGCAGGTCCCAAATCCGGCCCAATTCAGCCTGGAGGCCGGGCCCTGGTCAACCCAGATATGTCTTGGGGGAAGACTGGCTATATCTTAAGAGGAAAAAAGACCATAGTCATACTGTCATACCCAAAAACAAGTGGCTATGATTCAACCATAATCAGTTAGAACAACATAGAACAAGCCAGACATGTAATCATGGGTCTTGAAGCAGTATACTGTATACTTTCTTGTATACTGTAGGGTTGAAAACGAGAAAAATTTGAAGCCACCAACGACCCCGTTGTGATGAGTTGTGTCAAGCAGGATCCATCCGGCTTGTTGACCATTTAAAAAGGGCTGGGAGTTCAACATGCTTATGACAACCAGCATGACACTAACCAACGCAGAGTGGAACCTGGGTCTCGACTTGCTTCGGCCAAGTAGAAAAACCATCCATCCATTTGGAGATTTTCATAGAATTGGATGATGGGAAAATTTACAGGAAAGCCCTATGTTTGATGGTAAAAACCATGGTTTCCTGTAGATTTTCCCTTAAACCAATCCAATGAGATTTACGAAGGTCGCTAAGTCGTCGCCATTTGGGTGATATCTTTTCGTTGATCCTGCAGCCGCAGCCAATGATCCCCAAGATTGCCATCAGAAAAATATTAGGCCATACCTTGGATTTGCGGGGTTTTTGGCAAACCCAAAAAAAAGATAGATTTCTGTAAACTCCTACTAAAACTATTGGTACATTTCACCTCTGCATTTTTTGGGGGAGCTACTTACAGACCATGGACAAGCACATCCCCAAACACAGGTCATATCCGCCATGTTCATCCATGTACCGCAAATCCCAATGATAGATTGGTTTTTTGGTAGCCAAAAAGTGACTTACTATAGTTACTATAGTCATTGTGTTTCTTATAGTGAGGTACTATATGGTACTATAGTTCTCTATCTTTTTTTTGAGGCTTGCTATACTGGAGATGGCCTACAAGCCCTCACCTGAAAGGCTCTGCCGGCGGCTGTGCGGACATCTTCTTCCTTTTCCCATTCACCTCGGACCGGCGTTTTCCAAACGGCTCATTTCCAAAAAGTAACGGGCCTTAAATGCATGGAAAAAATCAAAATCTTTTTTAAAAAAATACGAATGATGGTCAACCCATCCTAAAAAAAGAAATCATGGGATCATCGTTAACCATGATTAACCATGATAACCTAAATCATTTTCACATTATCTGTTTGGGAGGTTGGTTTAAAAAGACATCCGATTTGCTGTGACCAGAAAATCGGTACCCAGGTACCAGCGCAACGACGAGATGGGATAAACTCATCATCCCGACCATGAAAAAAAAGAACGGGTGAATAGCCAGTTACACAATAGCCATGAATAGCCAGCTACCAACAAAGATTTTTGGCGTCTTTTTCTGGAATTCGGGTGAGTTTGAAGATTTTTAAGCCAGTTACACACACATGAGATAAGCCACTGGATAGGAACGATAGGAACCTATCACCAGGACTTGAGATGACTTGAGCATCTTTTCTGCGGCTGGAATGCTCTGTACCAGATTCCGTCGCAGGCGCACAACGGCCGGAACTGGCTGGAAATCTCATCCAGGAAAAGCACCTAAGCCTTGGACACCCTTCCACCTGAAACTTCAGTGGCAAACAAAACCCATGATTACCTCATACAATTTTCCGCAACATCATCTCCGATTACAAGATTTCTTCCAGTCAAGATCGGATCTGCCACTCTGCAGAAAATATGCCTATCACTCTAACCTTCTGCGCTTCATCGGCAGCAGTGCTTCACCGTTCTCCCTGAGATTGTCGCAAACCTTTGGCGGAATCCCGGGATACGCGTCGCAGCCCGGCTCGGGCAAGCTGATGCGGATGCTTCGCGCGAAGCCGCGCACCACGTGGCCCTTTTTGGACTTCGGGGGAACGACCGTGTTCCTGCGGAAATCCATGGGAAATGTCATAGCCAGCAGTGAAGATATGTCAGGTAAATTGGGAAAGGGCAATGGATGAGATTTTTCAAGTCAAACCACTGATGGGCGAAACATACTGCATATCTCTCGGAGGGAGATCTCAACAGATCTGGTTTGTTCGTGTTTATCATTGTTGGATAACCAATGAGAAGCCTCAGAACATTGAATTCTACACCCATTCACCATGTATGAGCTTTTGTTGGATCATTAGCAGGAGCAGGGCGATTCAACTGACAAAGTCTGAAACAACATGGCCATTGTCGTTAAACAAACCTCTTGTTCAATATGGCTGATTCAGGACTCCCCCAGCTTTACTGAATCCCCAAGTCTTTTCACTAGTTCCTGCGTAAACTGTCAATCCTTGCTGACAGAATCCCCCATAAATGACATTAGTTATATGGCTTACTAGAGGGCAATTTCCAATTTATGGCTATAAATCAAACTGATCATCACATCAAAATAGATTTCCAATAGATGTCCAACAAAACATTACCCTCTGGTAAACGTTTACATAACTAACATAACGAACTGGAAAATCACCATGCTATAAATGGCTAAACCCACTATGTCTTATGTTTACCAGAGGGTATCATCATCGCTGAAAGATTTCCATCATTTGATGTCGCCATAGGCTGGAAAATCCGAAGCCAGCCTTTGTTCGCTGAGGCTATCCCAGCTGTGATGACACCTGAGGCTATCCCATTAAAATATCCATTATGAAACATGATATCATTGCAATAATATAATGGATATTTAATGGGATCATGTTTCATCATGGATATTTAATGGAATATTGGAGCAATGGATATGGAGTATTAAAAGTCCCATTGCAATTCCACTAAATATCAATGGATATATCCCCATTATGGAACATCAAATATCCATAAAAAATCATTTCCAGTTTTCCACTAAATATCCATAAATTACAATCCATATTACAGAATATCATAAATGTCCACTAAATATCCATAAAATCATAAGTTTTTCCACCAACATCCACCAACTTCCAACCGCTCATTTAACCGCTCCGCGGCGTCCTCAGCACGGCGCTCTGCGCGTTCTCCGCGGACCCCACGAAGCGCAGGTCGAAATGCAGCGCCCAGCCTTTGTTCTGCGCCAGGACATTGCCTTCCACTAGGGCCTTGGCTGTTTGGAATCAATGGAATCAATGGAATCAATGGCCATTTCAGGAACCAGGATGGAGCCCCCCTTCGAAAGCGAAGCTAAGGTGCCTTAGAAAAGTGGCTGAATTTTATGGTTTATGGTGGATATAAGTACACTTAATGGGCTTATAAACCAGTTTATAGTTTCAGGAACAATGGTGACTTCATAGGATGTAAAATGGGAAAATCCATCTATAAATGGAGATGCTGTAGGGATTTTTGGAGATGTCATCTGATTTGACATGATTGACCCTCTGGTAAACTGACATAGCAAAGCTAGCTATGGCCCATCCTTCATTGATCTTGTATGAAAAAGGCGGGTTTTCCCCGGCTATGTGAGTTTACCGGAATGTAAATTGAATGTACCTACCGTATATACAAGATATATATATATACTGTGAAACCGGCACTGGCACCAAGCGCAAGAAAACATGAATGAAAAATGCAACTTGTCGCAGCTCAACGCGCTCTTTGCAGAAGGCAAAACGCATATCCCATGGGCCCAAAATTGGGGCCACAAATTTGGAAGCTGGGCTACCAATTTTAGTATTGTGGCCCCGTTTTTGGGTCCAGAATCTGGCCCCTGTTTTGGGGCCACAAAACACAAACAGGAGCTATTCAATACGGGCAGCAAGTGCGCTACTGCCGCCGCAAGCAGACAGCAGCACATATCCGTGATACTCCGGGGGTACAATGCGGAGAAGCTTGCTTTACCACTTATTTGAAGCTCCGGTTTTGGGGCCTTGGGCCCACCTAGGCTTTGAGAAAAAGTGTCCCCAATGCCTTAATAAAAAACCCACCAAGACATGAGGTACGAATCGCAATGGCTTGGACGTGAAACTACTAAGCATATCGCGAGAAACTACTAAAGCACGAGTTGCGAATCACAATGACTTGGACGCAGAACTACTAAGGAGCTCATGAAAAACTACTAAGGCGTGAGCTGCCAATCACAATGGCCCGGACGCAAAACTACTAAGAATGTCCCTCAAAATTGAAGAAATGAAGAGGATACAATTACTTTTTTATCCTTTGGAGCAGTTTCTTAGTAGTTTTGCGGCCGAGCCAATACGAATTGCGAAATCGTCCTTAGTAGCTTTTGAACGCACTCTTAGTAGCATTGCGGCCAAGCCAATACGAAATGCGACACCGTGCTTAGTAGCTTTTGAGCACATTCTTAGTAGTTTTGCGGCCAAGCCAATACTGCTTCCGCGTGATGTATGTGGATACGCGCACGAGAACATGGCCCCGCTAATCAACGTTGCCACTCACAAAAGCCAGTCTTGCTGCCTTTCCTGGTGTAGCTGCTTTGCAGAGGGCGGAAGTAAGTCAACTTTGATGTCTGGGGGTGCCGGGGGTTGCGCCCAGGGTCCTGTACTCTGCCGCTGGCTGTGCACATGTCTTTGCATTGCTTGTGGAAGCCAAAGTTCAACCTCGCATGCTTGCTGCAGAACAGCACGGGCATCCCTGCACCTTTTGAAACGTTCCTTTGGCTTGCGTTGCGACGCGGGCCCATTTTTGGGGCTGTGGGCCTGCATGCTTTTTGCCTTCCTTCACTGCGTACCCTGCATGTAGAAAAAAAAAATATATATATATATCTATCTATCTACCTACCTACCTATCTATCTTTTAGGGCTATGTAAGGGAATATCCCCACGAAGTATGGCCTGATAAATGGTACAGTATAGTACCTCCATTTTGGGGTCCTGAATTTCCCACTGATTCGAAATGCAGTTCTAGTGAACGAAGTGGATATATTTCACCAGAGTTATAGGGGTCCCATATCCCAACTTGCGATTAGCTTGATTTCATCATGGTTATACCCATTTGTAACCTCAACTGCACCCCCTAAGTAGTGGCTAATAAAGTGGCGGTCATTGGGGGTACAATTGGGGTTATAATTTGGGATATTGATACAACAAATACTTGGAGATATTTGGCCAAGCAGTTTATTGGAAGTTTAATGAACACCAAATAGGGAATTCATCAATCAAATGGGGTTGGTTTAATTGGGGAGTACAACCATTGGGATATTTCATGGGACAACCAACAATCATGGGATATACTGGGGACTAACCATGAACTGGATCAAACGGAGGGTATAACGGTATAACCAACAACCACCTATACCTGGGACTATAACGAGGACATTATAGGAGATATAGTGGAGAATTGGGGATATACCTGACTTTTTTTTGGGCCTGACCGCTTTTGATTATAGGGTGATATGTTTGTTCCACCTGGTGGGGACGCGAAGTACCGCATCAAGTGGGAATCCCTATCAACCAACTTTTTGGCACCGGGCTGATTTACGCATTAAAAATGGAAGTTTTACAGTGTTGCTCCACCCATTTCCCCCCCACCCCTGTGGCTATGATTCACTTCTGGTCTGGTTGGAGCAACCCTGTTTTAAGTCGCAAAAAAAAACTGCAAAAATGTTGATTTCACCGGCAAAAAAGGCCTGGGTCGTGACACATCCCCACGGCCGCCGAGAGGCTGAAACATCTTGCAGCAAGAGACCACGACCGCTACAGCTCACCGAGTTATTGGCAATGGTTCCAGTGGCATCACTTCGCCCTGCAATGTGCTGGCCAAAAACGGTCATCGGATCCGTGGTTTATAATCCATATATTATATATAATCCGTATAATCTCATATAGAAATGTTAATATTCCATATATATATATATATATAACTCATAGATATTCCATATATATGCATATATGTACATATGTATATATAATATATATATATATAATATGTTTGGGGGTGTTTGACCCATTGACTGAGTGGGATGCACCTTTGGTCAAGTCACATGGCATGATCTTTCGTTGGGTCCCTGGTAACCCACTGCCGGTTAAAGTAAACAGACCATTTGGGGATGGTTTATACCACCCATCTATGGCAATATTGGGGATGGTTTATGATTGGGTTAAGCTATGTTAAGCTTATATAAGTTCTCTTAGCGGAATGGATGGATCACCATCCCCCAATATGGGTATAATATAACCAGCTTTTTGACGGAATTCGGCGTAAGCGAAGTCGCAGCAACAACGCCCCTTCCCGGTTAAGGGGGGTACGAGGTGTCAGAAAGGAGGCAAGCTGCGCGAATTCCACAGAGTCAAACCCCAAGCACTGGTGGCGGGTATCTGACCCCCTACAATACACAGCCATGACAGGAGGATGTGACAAAGCATCAACTACTACAGGTGAGTCGCCTCGCAAAGCAGCCCCTCTGCATTGAAAGCAAAGGCATAACATCAACAGCTCACGACTGACATTATCGGCATGAAATATAGCATGTGACGTGAAGTGACCACATTCTGCGGCCCCCAGTTTGAATCAATGTAATGTGACAATGTCAAATGGAAAAGTCCAAAGGCAGCACAGGCTGCGGACACATGTGAAACTAATCACTTTGTTTTTGTGCCATTCCGAATTGGCAACAGCACTGTAAGCGTTTGTTCCATTGGCCCACGGCTCCCAACTCGGCATACAGTCTTGATCCATCATGAGGTAAACAAAAATCACACGTGGTTGCACTGAAGGTAGGCACCAGAAGGCTTGCGGTTTTCCATAAACAACAACAGTCACAGCAGGTTTCGCCGGTGTTGTCAACAATGCACTCCGGACACAGCGCAGAAGGTCTGCACACCGATGTCAGTACCAAGAATCAGGACGATGTCAGGCGTTCAATTCCAAGTAGGACAGATAGGCAAAGTTGGATAACACCAACCAGGGCAATTGACAATCTGGAAAACAGAGAACTCACCACATCAAGATGGCATGAAATGTCTCACTCGAAATCGGGAGCTACCAGCTTTTTGTCCGAAAAGATGGGACCTCAAAATCTCATGTTCAAAAATCATGTCCTAATTGAAATTGCCAAAATAGGGGGCACCCCGCGGAAGCAAACCCAGGTAGCAATGGATCAATATGCTGGATGGTGGTTTCAAGCCATCATAAACATATTCCTCAAGTGAGATCCACCAGCCAGTATTCAGCCAGATTGTATGCTGGTTGATCATTGATTAGTGATTACCCTCTGGTAAACTAACATAGCTATGGAAAATCACCATTTTTCATGGGAAAATCCACTATAAATGGTCATTTTCAATAGCTATGTAACAAATTACCAGAGGGTATTGATAAGATCCCAAAATGCACCAAAATCTGATTCGTGGTGATTATTGATTATTGACTACCATGTGGTTCAGAAACTCAATTCTCGGCTTCAACTGCCTCCCGGGGAATACTCGGATACAACCATAGCTCAGAGCCGCCTCTCCCCTCTGGATGGGGAAACCCCACATTAAAATCCGCGAAATCATCCCAGTATTCATTGTCTATCTACCCAAATTTTAGATGGTTATATGGGGATGGGTCAAAACCCTGGTACCTAGTGAACCCCAAAATAGGTGGTAAATGGATGTTCATCCCACTAAAAATGGTATCTATAGGTATTGACCCATACCCATATCAAGTGTTTTATAACCCAGATTCATCTAAACGATGGACCAAATATACCTATTGGGGACTAAATATGCCTATTATCTACTAAATATATGGTTAAGAAATATGAACCAACTAATTCCAACAAGTTTGCCCAGGATGTTGAACAAATGATGCGCCGGTCCAGTTAGCTAACTTGGTTTATAGCTCCAAGTTCGGGTTTATGCAATAGATTTATTGAACTAGTTACAAACAGGTCCATTTTTCGCCAAACTATGGTACATATATCTATACTTGCTATATGTTTATATAACTATGGTTTATAACTATAGATATATAAGATATGTCCACTAACAGTTATAACTACTAACATATAGCTAACAAGTATATAGCCATATGTTATAAACTACTAGATGTATATGTTATAGACATCTACCAACAGTTTTTGGTTTTATAACGTTTCACAAACGTTTCACCGGACCAAAGCACCACGAAATGCGCCGGAAAGGCGCCTTCGCCGAGATTTCCGTCGTCATTCCAGCGCTCCAGCTCTTGGGCATCCACTTCCACCAACTCGCTGGTCCTTGGAGGATCTGAGAAAGATGATAAGATAATGATATGTTATCATTATATAATATTAAATAATGTTATTATACAATGTTACCCTCTGGTAATTTAACATAGCGAGTGAAAATCATTTGGGGGATGATGATATACACCCACATCAGATATGGGGATTGAACCATCATCTATACAATGTGGGGCCCCCCAGTGATGTTTGTTGGTTTATAAACCCCATGAATACTATAGTTATTTGCGTACCATAAGCCATAGTTATTGGAGTTGATATAATATCATTAGGATAATGTTATTATTAGGATTATATATAATAATATTAATAATGGTATTATTATCCTTATCATTATATCATGTTATAGGATGAATATATATTATTATTACAATGTTATTGTCATTATATAATATTAAATAATGTTATTATACAATGTTATTATTAGGCTGATAACCATAATGATATGACTGGTTGGTGGTTTCAACTGACTAATAGGCTAATAGGTGGTAAATCAACTATGTCTATGGCCATTTTCAATAGCTAACCGTTAAATTACCAGAGGGCATCTGGAAAACAATGATATGTTATACAATGTTACCCTCTGGTAATTTAACATAGCTATTGAAAATGGCCATAGAAATAGTGAGCTTTCCCACTAACAATGACCATATTCAATAGCTATGTTAGTTTACCAGAGAGTAACCATCTTATCCTATGTTAAGATAACCATGATATTTTATGAGATGATAATGTTATGATATCTATGATCATTAAGTATGTTATGATCCATACAGTCCCTCATTATCTGCAGGACAATATACCCTCCATACAAAGATAACCGTAACATAGACCCGAACAGATAGGATATATCTTGATGTATGAATATGATTGTGAAATATTTAATGGATATATCTAAAAAATATATATATAGGATAGGATATTAATCTGAGATATTTAATGTATATGTATATGTATATGTATATATATATACATTATAGATCCATATTAAGTAGATATAATAGATGATATATCTGATAGGATATATCTGATAAACAGGATAAGATACATACTTTATATCTGATAAATATGTGTATGTATAAATTTACTACCATCCAGTAAATTGACACAGACCCTGGAAGATAGGGGTTGGAAGATTAATTTCCACTAAAAATTGGAAGATAAGATGATGCTACATCTGAGATATTCAGTGTATGGATATTATTGTTTGAATCTTTAATATATATATATATATAACTTATTGGTTGTAATGATATCTCCACCATGATATCTGATATAGACATATTAATATATTAATACATATTAATGTTATCCTAATAAAATTATTGGATATGTAATGACATATCTGAGATATTTACCATGATATACCTTTAATAGGATAAACAAAATATATCAAAGTAGTGTTTGGATATCAGTGTTTGATAATGATATCTATAACGTATTAATCAAACAATACTTACTATGTTATTGGTAAGACATTTGATATATATGATAGAATAAGTTATTATTGATGGTGATATGAACAAATGATATCATCCCGTTATGATCCCATGATTTACAGTGTGAACTCGAGTTGCAAAGAGTTGCCAACTGGTGCAGGACTTCTTCCGTCCATATAGATTAAGAAAAAACACCGATTATTGAAAATACAGCAATCATAATATTAATCATAACCACTGAACATAAAGCGTGTCTTTAATAGGCAATATTATGACGAATACTAAGCAATGATTATCATTGCTGAACATGCGTATGATCTATTAATCTTATCAAAAGCAAAAATCGCAACAATAATATATCTAGTACCATTATTAAGTTTCTTCACTGCTCGGATGATAGTTCAAAAAAACGAAAAGCAATGATTGAATTATCATAAAAATCAGCAATGACTATCTAATTCGTATTATTCTTATTGTTTCGTATGATTGTTTAAACGATGTAATATTGTTATCATACAAAACGTAGCTATAATATTGTTGTTAACAATAGCTCTGAATTTCGTCGAAATCCAGCAGTCTATAAGCGCAGGATATATAGTAGGTTCAGAATGGTGGGTACAATGGGATATTACTATAATTGTGGGATTTCTGATTTCTAGTATCATATGTTTATTATTTGGTACAATTAATGGGATATTAAGCAAACATGTGATAATCTGATACTTGGCTTTGTCCCACAAATTGTAGATTTACCCATCAACAAACTGCAGTTTTGGAAAGATGATGCTTTATCGCTGGAATGGGGTGCCCCATTTTGCACAAACCCTAACGTCATTGGACTGGTTCAACGAAAAACTGGCAGGAAATCAGCATCGCACGCTCTGGATCAATCCCCAACAACGTGGCCAGGGCACGCAGATTTCGCAGATTCCTGCGACCACCAGCGGCTTTTTCCAATGACTTCCTGATGTGCCGGCGCGACAAGGGGCTCCCAAATGACATTTCAAGACGTTGAGATTCAAGAGAGATGGGTTGATGGATAGTTTATGGAGAATCATAGGCAAGAAGTAGAGACATGTAGAGATAATATGCTTGCTAATATGAGCAAGAAGGGAAAGGTTGGGTCCAGCTGTGCAGTTAATATCATAGTGTGAGACCATGTCAATCACCATACGGTGATTACTAGAGGAACGCAATGGGGTTGCACCAAATTCTCCGCTTTCTGGTGGTTTGTTGATCCCCACACAGCTGACCTTTTTGAGTGAGATGTGTTGCAAATCCATCTACTCCCAACACATCTGTTGTCCTAAATTCAATAATTGAATCTGTTTAATGTCTGCAATCCAGAAGTTCTAAGGCCTTTCCCAATTCGTGAGAACCACTTCCGCCAACGTGAATTTTCGTCGTTCAGAATCGATGCCCGTGGAAGATGCTCCACTGATCTGGTTGTCCGTGATGGTGAACTCGGGCATGCCGGAGTTGCCGCCCCGGCCATCAATCCAGATACCTGGCATGAGAAATGGTGCTTTAACCCTGATTAATAGGGATTAATCATGCAAAATTATGGAACACAATAGGACTATCATGGTTAATCATGGCGATTAATGATGATTGATGGGAAATAGTCAATGGCCATGCAACAGGAACCGATTGGTTGGAGGTACCTACCATGTAAATCCTATTTTTAAGGACTATGTAAGGGAATATCCCCACAAAATATTGCCTCATACGGTACAGTACCTCAATTTTAGGATCCTGAAATTCCCATTGAAATGGTGGATCAACTGGAATAGAATGGGAATATTCCATGGGACATATAACATACCAACGGGGCTGCAGCAACGGTGTGAAAAATCGCTGTATATTGCAACGGGAGTAACCCAGATAGGTTGGGATACAACTCGTAACCCCCAAGTGTCGCATATTAAACTAACCCCATTTGCTGACCCGCATAGCATCCCATTATACCTATATATTGGTCATTTAAACCTCCAGTTCTGCCGCTAAAAAAGACGTACCCCTTTCATCACTGGGTTATAAGACCATTTGCTAACCATACCATATTCAGGTTGGTGGTTTCAACCCCTCTGAAAAATATTAGTCAGATTGGATCATCATCCCAACTATTGGGAAAAAAATGTTCCAAACCACCAACCAGTATTGAATGTTGATTAAATCGTATTCCCTTGCGTCATCATCATATCCCAATGGTTGGCAAACATCCCCATCTATTGTTTTTTTGCCTCCAGCTACTGTCAGTCCCGCAAAATCAATTCCCAGTGGAAATCAATAGGGAGGTCCACGTTTAAACAGGAATACTCCACGTTTAAAATTGGTCACCCTGTTCAAAAGTTGACACTAATGTGGTAGAATACAAAATAATCCCTAATTTTACCAGAAATGGATGGTACACATCCTCCCTAATTGGAGTTTTGTGGTTCTCGCAAAAGACCACATGGATGGTTTCCCTATTCATGGGAGCCCCAAATCTCATCATCCCGTGAGACCAGTCTAGAAACTCCCACATGGAGGTTTCCTGAAATGATCAATACTCCCAAATCATCCGAGTTTAGAGATGGATATTCCATGAAATAAACCATCCATGTTCGGATCATTTATGGAACATGACGAACCATCCTCTTTCCGCATCGTTTGTCTCCCCGGGCACCTCTTACGCCCGGCATCTGCAGGTGGTTGGCGCTAAGGTGCACGGGCGACTTCTCGATCATCACTGCGTCGCCGCGGCCCTTGGTGACCTCATGAGGGACCCGGGTGACCCGGGTGACCCAAAGAAATGGGCAAGTAAACCATGATAAACCACAAGACATGGCATGGTTAATAACCATTAATGGTTAATGATGCTTAATAATGGTTAATAAATGATGGTTAATGATGGTTAATGATAGTTAATGATGGTTAATGATGGTTAATGGTTTGGTGAAAGTCCATGAAAAAACTGCCACATGGGTCCGAAATGTGTTGACTGACAAGCCAAGCGACGGTGTTGCATTCCACACGGGATGCATTGCTGGAGGCGTCTCCGAGCTGTTTCAAAAAAATGGCGCAAGTACCGTTATCTACCTGGTTGTGAGAGACCAACACCTGCATCGAAACAAACGGCCAGATTCGGATCTGGGTGTAACAACCCGAGCGGTCTCAAGGCTGCATTTTAGGAGAAACAGTGTTTGGTCATATCGAGTAATTGGGGCGCATCATAAAAATTCCAGCAGTAAGGACTCAAAATCAATGGGGGTCTTCGTGTCCTATTTTCATCATCTAAAACCCTGATGGATTATTGGGTTGTCTGATTACATGGGGATATGAGTTTGTTTTTCTCCTTCTCTTGAGCGCGGCTTCAAGAATTAATTCTTTACCCCTGGGCTGATGGAGGTCGTTTTGCCATGGGTTTTGCCATGGTTTACTACCCTCTGGCAATGGCACATGACAATGGAAAATCCATGAAAAACCCGAATTTATGGGTAATGTTCCCAGCCAACAAAAACCTCCATGACTAGTTCGAAGACTTCCCCAGCGGTGAAGTTGATGACCCCCGGGAAAACTATGGAAAACTTGGGATTCGCTGAAATGATGCCCAGAACAACTCACATTCGAAGTACTCCAAAAACCAGTGGTTTATCATCATTCGAATCATTCTCTGGATTGAAACTTCAACTTTGGGCCAACTCATTTATGGAAAAACCCACATCATCTACTTCCATGCTGAAAATTTGGAGTCTCCAGCCAATCAGGCAAGACTGCCACAGGATACTATGGTTGAGACATGTTGAGACCGTGCGAAACGTCAAGGCCGGCTGATGTGGTGCCCCGGTTCGGAATCGCTAAGTTGGTTCATAACTAGAATAACTTCCTGGGTTTATGGTAGATATATCTAGAGCTAATGGTGTGTATAAATCAACTTACAACTGCTGGGCACCCTGAACCTATCCGACCTATCCACATTCATCCACATTCGGGGGGTACCCAATATGTGGCTGAGATGTTCAATGCCAAACTTATTGAGTGACAAACCTAATATCAACCCCTTATTGGGGGTTCAACCTATCCCTTTCCCCCTAATACTTAGGGGGTTGATACCCAAACAAACCTTTGTGGCAAACGAGTCGTTCTCCCCACCAGTGAACGTTTAGATGTGGAACACCCACCATCAAACACACAGAATGAGTTCACTGAGGTCGACCTTAAAAGCGGTCGGTGTTTCATTCGCCCATAGAGATATATATATATATATATGTATACATATATATATATAATATGTATACAGTATATATATATATGTGTATAATATATAATTATATATATGTCATTTATTTGGTCATCAATCCATGAAAAATCGGGATTTGGGAATTGTACGCAAAAATCTACCCGTGATTTCATGAATGCCACACCCGGTTTTTTCGTGCCCATAAAGCCACAGTTCTTGGAGTTAAGTTCGTTCACGAACTCAGCGAAGAAAATGTGGCACCAGCGAACGTAAACCAAATACATATATATTATTTATATATATATTAATGTATAATGGACCATATGACATATTCATACAATGGACATATTCATATTGTTATATTCTATTGGGATATTTAGTCCCATGATAGAAGAAAAAACATGATTTCATGTGGTAGATTTATTTATTTATGGCTTTTCTGAAATGTTTTGTTAATCTGATTTCATGATATTCTGGTTGGTGGTTTGAACCCCTCTGAAAAATATTGGTCAGTTGGGATGATGACATTCCCAATATATGAAAAAATAATCCAAATGTTCCAAACCACCAACCAGTTATATATTGTTATTCCAATTATTAACCATTATTAACCATAGATTAACCATAGATTAACCATAGATTAACCTTCATCCCATTCGTCCACCTGTGGGATGTGGCTCGCCACCACGCCGAAGTGGCACATGTCCAGCTGATTTTGGCAAATCTCTGTGATCTCCTCGATGAGGACTTTGGGACGTCAAAAAATCCCATGTTTCTTAGAGAAAAAGAGGCTGAAAACTGAGCTGAAGATGAAAACTGATCCGGATGTTGAGATATCACAATTATATGCTGTCCCAAAAAACTGGAAACTCCAACTTAGCATCCCAACATCCAGATTTTCGAGATTGGGACACCTGGAAAATTCTATCCGAAATGTGATTTTGCTCGAGGCATCACAACCGGGGACTTAAGCCAAGCAGTTTTTATATGTGGACACCAGCAGTAAACGTGTGCCAAAACTGGTGAGCTGCACCTAATGGCCGAGGTACGATGGATTTAATCCCCTGGAATGCCGTCATTTACCCGGCCTGGTAAACTGTTACATAACGAACTGGAAAATCACCATGAATTTTTGATGGGTAAATCAACTATGTAAATTGCCATTTTCTATAGCAAACTGTTAGTTTACCAGAGGGCAAGTCATTTACCCAGCAGAAAAGCAACTAACAAGAATTTCGGTGAAGAAATACATCGCTTCTGACCCATCAAACAACCCATCAATGGCCATACTTGTCGTGTACTGTACAGATACAGATACATGGTAACTGCCTGTGTGACTGCCCATGCTTCGTGTAACTTTCACCTTTTTTTCGATACTTCGGGGGAACCCGGGGAACCCCAAACCTCCGGAAGAACCCCAAATCTCAGATTTTTCAATATGTACCCTCTGGTAAACTAACATAGCTATTGAAAATGGTCATTTATAGTGAGTTTTCCCATTAAACATGGTGATTTTCCATAGCTATGTTAGTTTACCAGAGGGTAATTCCATAGCTAACTTGGTTTGTTCATCACTTGGTGAACTAAGGTTTCTGCCAGTTCCATGGGGACTGGCAACCCCTATTGATGCTTCATCACCGTTCTATCCCATCCAAAACCAACATTGTTTTGCTATCCTATAAGTCTCATGATATAGATATTAGATAGAGATAGATTATGATGTCTGCTAAGATTTAGATTTAGATAGATAGACAGCTAGACAGATAGTGATCAAGATCAAGATTTTTTGATTAATGTTTAGATCTAGATTGAACTACAGCAGATTGGATAAATAGTTACCCTCTGGTAAACTGCTACATAACTATAAATGGCAATATTCAATAGCTATGTCAGCTATGTTAATTTACCAGAGGGTAGATATCCTTATCGCCTTATCTACGCTGTTGCTTTCATCCCCATCTTTTCAGGGCGCCAGGCGTCAGCTTCAGCAGCTGCTTGACTGACACCATCCGGAATATCCTCAGGCGGCGGTTTTCGGTTTTCAAACAATCAAAATTGGGAATATCCACAGGATGGGGCCCCCGTTCGATAGCGAAGCTAAGGTGCCTTGGAAAAGTGGCTGAATTCTATGGTTTATGGTAGATATAACGAACTAGTTTTCATGGTTTATAACCCAACTTAGTTTAAAGGGAATATACTAAAAATGGTATATAATGGTACTGTGGATGGTTGCGAAATCTTGCACCAGTTGGTGGCAAGCATCATGTTTATCTCATGTTTTTTTCGAGGCTTTCAACCATCCTTTTGGGTGGTGCAAAATTTCTTCCACGGTTATTAAGTCCCCATTTCGTGGCTTGTCCCAATTAAAAATGAGTGAATTAAACTCAGTTACAAACCAGTTACTAAGTGGGATGATCTTCAGTAAATGGGTTATGTAGTATTGCTTATTGATTATTATAGATCACAAATATGCTGAAGATGTTTGGAAGATGCTAGGTATTTTTTGCTGTTTCCCGTGATAGATTGTGATAGTGTCCCCACTATGAGGGCTGGACCTTCATCAACCAATCAGGATTTTGAAGGTGATCAAATGATGGAAGATGACCGAGAAAAATGGTGATTCGGGGTGGCTTTAACCAACAACCATAGGCATTTTGCGCGCGAATCTATCCCCCACGTTTTTTTAGCCTTCCGAAAAGGTTTTTTTTGCCAAGTTCAACGAACAACAATTTGTATTTGACCAAGACATATAAGGGATTTTATGGATTGTGTTGCCAGCTGTAGCACCAATTTATGGTAGATGTATCGAAGTACTTAATGATACGCCCAACTTGTACTTGGGGATAGAAATTGGTTATATGATGTTATATGTTATTAGTTAATATTGTTATCAGTAATATTGTTATATTAATATTGTTAATCTTGTTAATATTGTTATACTTAATATACTATTACTTGAATTGTTATTAATTAATATTAATTATCTGATTAGTCGAAAAAAGTGACCAACTAGTTCAGAGATTTTCTCCGTGATCCCAAGGTTAGTTTCACCTTGATTTTCGATCCTGAGGTAACATGCCAGCTTAGTAAAATGTGGCCCCCAGAATTTTCGAATGTACTTTTCGTAAAATTTTGGGGGAAACTCTAGAAATATGTAACAAACAATTTCTAAAGGCTCCCTCCTAACCACTTGATTTTTTGCGTCTTTTGCGTTTCGTCCCAAACGTTGTTTGGGCTTGTGGGTGGTCAGGATTCGTACCACCAACAAGACTTTACATTTCAATTGAAAAAACAACTAATTGTTGAGAGGATAGTACCGTGTGGCATATCGAATGAACTTTGCCCTTTCTGTGAAGGGTATCTGCAATTCCATTGGGTCATCGTCAAGCCTTGCAGGTTTCTTAGGCGGAATGAAAACTCGATTGAGATGCCTTGTGCTACCATTGGAAGTGTTGAACAGGTTATGCAAGGCAGCTTTAACTTCATCAGCATACCAAAGTTGTGGCCTTTTTGCAAATCCCTTGCATGTACTGGAACACCCAAGCGCACTGAGGGAACGTGCTTTTGATGTCAGGGAAGCAGGAAATAATGTAAATGGAGCATGTTTGACAATCCAGGATATACTCTTGGACCAAATCATCATTTGGGCACCCAACGTGCGAGCACACGTATCAGCTAACACTTCTTTGTCCTCCAGAATGTAGCATGGTGCCGTCCATTGGTCACGTTGTTGCTTCGTGAAAGTGTTGCGAGGAACAATGGTCTGCGTAACTGTCATATAATCTATGTAGAGTTCTAACATAGATATATCCGCATTATGAACGCAGTCTTGGCTAGGCCAAGCAAGGCCCTTTGCCCATTGGGTGATCCTCCACAAATAAACTGGCCCCCATGGATAGGCAAGATATTGTTGGTGTGTGAAGGAATGGTTGACTCTAAAAACCTGCGGAGCCACTTGCAGAGCTGGATGTTCAGGGTTAAAATGGTTATCTTTTTGCCTTTCTTTCTGTTGCTTCGCTGATGCTTTGATGCATTTGTCACTGGCCAATGCGATGAACTCAAATAGGGCAATTGCATCTGTTCTATGTTGGGAAACTCTTTTGTGCATAGCCTCCAATTTTAAGAAAAGTCCTCTGTTGTCTGCAGTGATGGTACTTTTCGCTTTTTTATCCACAAAGTCATTGCACCATGCAGCCCACCTCTCGAATGGGTTTGAAACTTTGTCAATCTGGACATGCGCTTTGACTTTCAAGATGGAAATCTGCCGTTCACCTCGTTGGCTAAGATGTCGCAGAATACAATTCCAGATCAACAAGGAACCCTTCAGTTCATGCCTCCTTGGTTGCTGAAAAAATTCATCTTCCATCATTTCAACAACTGTTTGGCAATCTGAAAAAATGCGGACGTGGTACCATCTATTCAAAGCCAGTAAAACAGAGTACAATTCGCCTGCAAAACTAGTTTGTTCAACTCCTGGAACAAGTTGTCCAAACGCAAAATTTGGTGTGTAACTGTTCTGGCCAACCTCAAGCACCGCAGCAGATGCAATTGAAAGTTCAGGCACGTTATTGAAAAACGCCGAGCCGTCAGTGAACACACAATGCACTGCATCCCCAATAGGTGGAAGGGACCATGGAACTTCGTGACACGTGACACTCCCAATAATTTCGGATGCATCCGGAATGGCAGGAACTAATGCAAAGTGCCAGCAGGTTTCACCCCAATTCCTAACTCTTTGGAGGGTGTCTTTTTTTGGTCTCACGTCATCAAGATTACGGCAATAAAAGAGCCGATGTTCCCTGGAGTCGGGATTGCCGCACAGGACACATCGGTTCTGGACACCCGGTAAAAACTTACTGAGAAAGTCATTGGTGATATGCCTCCCAGTTTGGTAAATTGAAATCAGGGACTGATGGTAATACGTGAGCTTGGCCATGGCATTTTTGTTACCTATCCAGTCAAAAGATTCCAAATTGAAATATTTTCGGCTGATCCGAGTTGATACCACATGATTTATCCAGGCTCGCTGCAAAAGTTGCTTAAGTGCTTTGGCAGAAACCTGCATCCAATGACACTCACGATTGGCAACACACAAGGTGCCGCTGACATTTCCAAATTTGCACCCAACTTGTGATACTGCATTGACTAGTGCAGCAACAGGTCCCGGTTTTTTGAGTCTGCTTGGAACATCTTGAATTTCAACACACCTTTGGTGGAGCGATGCAGCATTGTCAGGAAAAAGACGCTGAAATCGTTTCCACATCTGCAATCTCAGAAAGAGCAACTTAAACTCAGGGTCAAAAGAAGGATCGCAAGCGTTACAGGCTAGGTAACTGTTAGCACCCGACCCCACACACTGAATTGCGGCCGCAGTCTTTGAACGTAACGCATGGAGATCTTGCGGGGCAATCTGTTGGAAAACACCAGAATATGTAACACATGCATGTCCCACTGAAGCAGCAATAGTTTTCTTCATTCCCCTGGGAACCTTGGAATTTTTGATGACCTGAAGTCTGTTTTTAGCTTTACCAATTTTTGATTTGACAGTTTTTTTTGACTGTTTCTTAGTATAGTTTTGCTGCATACCAAGGTCATGCGCACTATGTACTAAGGGAATTCGAATTGAGTCGACTTGCAAGCTAGCACACTGCGTTCTCAAGGTTGAAGATGTGGCCCATGTCCAGCTTTTTTTGGGTGCAATCTTCATTTTAAGTCTTCTCGTAACATCGTGAAGTGCGTCAAGACTCTTCTGTAAATCTTCAAAGGCATGCGCAAAAACACTCCAGTTGTCAGCAAAAAAGGCACATTGAGCATCTGGAGCTGCTTCAGTAATTGCCAAATGTGCTAACAGGCTAACTGCAAGCATTGATGGGATGGCAAACCCGCACCCTTCGATGATGCCTGTTGTTGTCAACTGGGGGTCTGAGCAACATTGTGCAACTTCAAAAAACCTATTCATCTGCCGCATCATGGCACGGAAGGCATTCAAAACTGGGATTGGGACACCAAGTTTGGATAGAATTAACAGAAGGCCACCTCGTGGAACCGTGTTGTAGCACTTCATGAGATCAACAACAATTCCACCCAGGGGGGTGTTGAGTCTGTGCGCATCCTCTACTTTGGACGCAATGAGCAGCGCAATCATATCAGAAGAAATTTTCTTACACACACCAGCTATTTCCGGAGGGATGGATGCACTGATGTATGAAGTAACTTGCTTACCCCTGATATGTCCCCATAGTCTGTAGATCTTTGCCATTACCGTGACTGGCCTGATGTCATAAGGAGTTTTGGCGTCGGCAGTTTTGGGAAGACACAGGGTCTTCGCAAGGGTCCATTTTTGAGGCCAAACTCCATTTTGTTCAATTAACTGCAGAATCAAGGCTAGCATATCTAATAAGGAAATGGGCAACTTACGGAGATCAAGGGTGCTGAAACCATCTGATCCCCTGCTGCTTGCAACCTTGGTGCAACGGAGTGCATGTTCGATCATCGCACCATCAATGGGTGGAAGGCTTGCAACATGGCTCTGAGGCATCCTACCAATGAGGTCACTCATGTCTTCCGGCACCCTGTCCAATTCCTCTTCATTATCGCGCTGAAAAAAGACATTCCAAGCCGCAAACAGTTGAGCATGCATCTCTTCAGGACTGGCATAGGTATGTTCCTGCTCAACAACCAACGTTCCAGGCTCATAGGAGAGCAAATGAACATTACGATCCAGGAAAATACCATTTTGGCCAACTTGGGAAATTCTAGCAACCTGCGTCTGAAAAACAACAGGGAGATTCAAGTCCAGCACGTTCGTATTTTCACACGGCAGATAGTTTTTCCCTTCTTTGGGCCATGCAACCCTTTTGATGTTACACTGGACCTTATTTTTGATTGAAGTAAGGGGGGTGAGGTCAGTCGTTTTGACTTTGCCAAAAGCAATTTTCCCCCCATTTTTCCAATCTTCCCAAAGCTCAATTTTCTGGATGGCTTGCTTGGCTTTAAGGTCTGCCTGCTCATTGTTGTGGTGCCACTGCATGAACGTGTCTTTGATGAGGATGACAATCTCAAGACTCGGCAAGTAATTACCAAGGCTAATATTCAACATTTCATGGACCCACCGGGAGAAGTCCCTACGGAATCCTTTGGCACACAAGATCATGTTCCACAAATGCAGGATTTGCTGGAAGGCTTTTTCGCTGAACATCTTGGTCAGGGAAGTGTACTGTCTGACCAGGCTTTGCAGTCGGTGAAGTTGCTTCAAATGTTGTCGCAGTTTTGTACTGCATTGATCTAGGCAACTTTGGTAGTCACCATCACGTGCTCTGCGGTTCAAAGGTACAACCTGTGCAACTTTTCTCAAGGGATTTTTCCTGGCTCTTCCCAGATGGGCACTAGAGATATTACACTTTTCACCGCTAGAATTGACCGCTGAATTCTTCAAAACCAACTCTGCAGTGTTGGTCCATATGCGTGCTAACTCTTCAATGTTGTTCTGACTCATGGCTTGCTCCCACTTGCGTCTGGATGTGAGTAGCAGTTCTTTTGCAGTGGATTCAGCCAACTGTTTGTCAACCTGGAAGGCATCAAAACTCCTGGGGAGCATCCATTTTTGGGTCGGCATGACAAGGCAGTCAGCATCAAACACCGCACGCAATACAGGATGTGTTGGAAACATGAAAGGAAAACAGGTTCTGCATGAAACTAAGGTGCGAGCAAGCTCAGGATTCACAAGAATAAAGCTATGGCGCACAGAGTCACAGGATGTTGGTTCCAACTCATGTCCATTTTTTTGGGATGCCTCAACGGCAGCATCAATCCACCCACCCCTTTTTAGGTGTTGCCAAGACATGATCTTCTCTAAAGGGCAGTTAAAGTCTCCTACTATTACCGCTGGCCCACGGAACTGCATGGCTCTTTGGGCAGCATGGCTAAGTAGTCTTTCCATGAGTGTTGATTGGTCTGCAAATTTATATGCTGCTGTAGGCCCGTAAATGGACGCCATGTAAAGGAACCTGTGGGGTCGAATTTGGATGTGGGCCTCACAAAAACGATTTGAATGCTGGATGTCAAGTGGAAGATCCATCAGGGCTGTTCTCAAAGGAAAGGATGACATTATGGCAGTGCCACCTGCCATGCCACGAAATCCTGCCATGGATCCCCCCTGAGTACCCACAGGCGATGACCGCTCAACTGAAAGATCTCTTTCCCTGCACCATCTGGTCACTTGTGATTGGACCTGTTGTGTTGCCGCTGTTTCTGACAATCCAATGATGCCAGGACACATTTTCAAAATTTGGTCCTGTTTGTTCCAAATGGTTGTGGGATTACACGTCAGAATTGCCAGTTCTCCCGGTCCAGGATGGTCAGCCTCGCCAACCCGGCAAGTAAGAACCCAAAACACAATCAAAAGGAAAAACAAGACGGAGGCACACTTTCCAAAAGCACACAACTTTGGTCGCAGCATGCAAAGAGGTGTTCTTCGTTGTCTGTTCCTCCTCTGTCGAATGCGACATTTTTGAACTTTCCTGGCTGGGCATATTATTTTCTTTCGGCAAGCGTTCGACTTCCTATATACACTCAAGAGGAAAAGGCACAATCCCATCACTTCTACAAGTGTATCTTTAGGGTTAGCCCCGACATGTACATCGGAGACAATTTCATTGTTGAAGGAATACCAGGGGTCTTCAGACCCGTTGGAACATGCATGACAGTTCACAAAAGCTGGGAAGACACTTCTGGTCTCTGCGCAGTACAACATGCAACATTCACAACTGGTTTCCGAGGTATTAACGACAGTTATATCAAGATGTTTCTCACTGGGATCACCATGAACGGATGATTTTTTCAAGCTGCATGACTCTTGACAGCACGTCAAAATAGCATCTCGGAGGCAGTCATTGAGAAGGAAGGCAAATTGCCATGCACACCCACCCTGGATAAGTTGAATCATGAGTCTCTTATCATAGAGAAAAGGTGTTGACTTAATTCTATCAAGGTGAACGCCGGCATATTCACCTTGACAGTGGCATTTACGCCAAGGATCGCAATTTTCACCTAAAATTTCCCTCAAGGTTCCATGGTATATGAGTGGATGTTGCAGGAATTCGCATACCTTAGTGAAAGGTGCTCCACTATGCTGACATGCAAAGAAAAGGTGTACTGGGAGACTAGATGCAGCCATCCAGAAATTTTCTCGGCCAACTGTTAACATATCAGGGAAATACATGGGTTCGGCACTGGTTGAAAAACTTGTACAAAAAGGTTTGTTGTCGAAATGGTCAAAGAGAGGTAAAAGGAGTCCAACAGGGTGTGGATTCAGGACGAACCAAATCACAGTCATGGCCACCGTTGGACAGTGAAATGGGTTGTCGATCCAGACCCAATTGGGAGGCATACCATCAGCTTTTCGGGTATGGGATTTTTGAAAAAAGGCAGCATTTTTGTCACCCGGAGTTGCTACCATTCCGGGGGTCCAGAGACCAGCCGTTATGTTCCTACAGGGCTTCACACGATCAACAGGTCTGACCAGGTCAAGGCTCACACTTCGGCAGGCGTGTTGGTTGCAAATTTCACCGCACACAGTGGCTCTTAACTGACCTGGCTGGAAATGGTTGTCATCTTTCCGCAGGATCAGGAGAAAATTGGCAATATTCTGTGTTTGGTACCCCTGAAATACGGCAGCATTGTTGTGACCCGGAGTTGCTACCATTCCGGGGGCCATTAGGCCAGCATCATGGGTTGAGCAAACAGTGATCAGGATTTTAGGGCAATGTTCAAGTACTGTTTGCAAACATTGGTTCAACAGGCATGGAAGTTTTCTATGTAGGGGGAATGAATCACGCCCAAAAAGGCTCATACCCTCAACTTCGCAGGAATGGCACTGTAGACAAACTTGAGAAAAGCAACATCCACAATCACCCCGGCAACCGGTGTTGTTTTGACAAAAACACCAACAAATGGGGTTTCGCCACCGAATAAGGCAACTTCTACATGGTTGAAGTGGGTTGTCAATCCAACACCTATTGAGAGGCATATTATTTACTCCACATGTGTGGAATTCTTGGGAAAGGGCAGCATTTTTGTCACCCGGAGTTGCTACCATTCCGGGGGTCCACCAACCAGCAACAGCAATGGCAGTTAACCAGAGTGCTTCACGAGCAACAAGTGTGGCAAGGTCAAGATTTGCTGTTCGGTTGTCCCATTGAATGCAAATGTCACAACACACAGTGTTTCTTGGTTGACATGGCAGAAAAAGGTTGCCAGTCTTCCACGGGGTCAGGAAAACATCTGCAGTGATTTGCATATGGTGCACCTGGAGCACGGCAGCATTCTTGTTACCCGGAGTAGCTACCATTCCGGGGGTTGTAAGACCAGCAGCTTCACTCGAGTGGTAATGAAGTATTTCAGCAGTCTTGACAAGGCCAAATGACATACATCCAAACAGGTTACCAGGCACCTGGCTCCTACGGATGTAATTGGCAAGGCTCATACATGGTCGCAAAGAACCACTCTCACCACAAACTTCACATTGCGTGGGATGACCTGGATTGCACCTTTTCAAATGTCGCAAATCCATGTTGTGTAGGTAAGAGTGCAGTTTGTTACTTCTACCATCCACAGCTTGTTCTTGCATGTAATTATGAATTATTCCTCTCTCTTTACCTGCATTGGGCATGCAATGGCAACAGGCTTTTTGTTTTTGGTTATGACAGTATAAATTATGAATTGAACCAACATTCCCTGTGAAGGGAAACATTTGCTGTGAAAATTGCTTTTTATGGTGTTCGATATGTGCAAAAACATTTTTATAGGTTTGGCTTTTGTCAGCATCGCCATGGGCAAGGCTAATTTGGTCGACAGCAAGAGCTGTCCTGTGCATACGGGTGCGCAAGGCTTTTTTGTTTTTTAGATTTTTTGGGCATCGGGCAACAGGCTTTTTATTTGTTTTTGGATTTTTCAGGCGGTCACAACGTTCAGCATGGCGACTCACTGGTTCCAATCCCTCTCTCACAGCAGCAAATCCTTCATCTGAACCCGGCAAGAGCTTTCCAACTCTAATGGACTTTTTCTCACAAGTGACAAGGTTGCGACCAACACGCTGGGACGGCATCACAACATCACTCACTGTTCTCTTTGGTGCACTGCCACGGCTGGCATGGTTAAGGATAGGGTGGGCCCTCCTTGACAGATCAACTCGAATTGTGGTTGGGTGCAACGATTGCTTATTGCAATTTGAATTGGGATCCGCTGAAACCTGTGCAAGTTCGGAACGCTGATTGCGCAAGGTTTCTTGATGGGTCCATTGAGCAACATCCATATGGCTCTCTGCAATTATGGTGGATAATCCACCAAAAGCAAATTCATGGCAGCAAGTGTGGGAACCCCTCAACACTTTATATTCAACATCGAGCAAACTCAGGTTGGGTTTCGTTCCTACACTTTGCAAGTCAGCGCAACATTCCTGCACATCGGCATGAAGGGTGCAAACTGAGGCCAAAATGAAGAGCAAGGTGACGAACCCATATATGGTACGAAAGCATGTTTTGGGAAACGATTGAGCACGGCCATAGTTCGCTAGTCAATGCCTAGGTCTCTTGGCATCTGCTTCGATCCCTGCATCTTTGTTGGCACTCAGGGTGGTCTGCAACTCACTCTGCATCTTCTGAAAGAGGTTTTGCATCTGACTCATGATGGTGTTGTTGCCTTCTGATATGTCACTTCTGATATTGGTGAATTCAGCTTTGGTATCAGTTTTGAGCTCATCGACTGCTGATTGAATCTCCTGGACCTCTGCTTGCACATGTTCAACTGATGTCGAGAGCGCATCAACACGCATGTCACACTCCCGCATGCGGTCTTGGATCATGGCAGTGATTCGATCCTCAAGATCTGCTTTCAAATCCGCTTTGATATTGTCAATGCGTGAAGTGACAGTTGACTGGGTCGTTGTATCACCAATTGATTCTTCTGGGCACATGCTTGGGCAAAAATTGGCTCCCGCCTGGGCAACTGACACTGGCATGTCGACTGCTTTGGGACCATTCTGACTCCTTGCAGGAGTAACAGCAACATAATCACTTCCAATGCAAAGGTGTGTTGCAGGGGGCTCATCTGCTGAACATACCACCCAAGTGTTCTTCCCATTTGGCCGAATGGCGTTTGCATCCCATCCTAGTTCCCGCAGCGCTGCAGTGACCGCATCACAAGTAGTGGAGGCATTGAGGTTGCGCAAGATCCACCATGATGCTCCAGCAGGGATTTCACCTTCCTGCAATGAAATTCCTTGAGGCAGTGCATTGCGTCTAATCTCCTGGATGTGCTCGCGCTTCGCTCTCAGAGCAAAAACACCATTCTGTCCCATCTGAACAACACCCAAGACATTTTTCAGAGTCTTGGCTAGCTTGACCACTTCCTCAAGAGACTGACCATGCATGGGCACAATTCCAAAACGAGGGTCTGGCTTTTTGTTTTCGGCTTTCACTTGGAGAAACACCCCTGCCTGTCCAGAACGAATGAGGGTTGGTTGAAGGACGTCCTCTGGAATTTTCACAAACCCATGAACATACTGGGCATTTTCATGCTTGCACTTCTGTCGGTTATCATCGTAAGACCTGAAGTTCCAAGACGCAATGACTTGACCTTTGCGAATTTCAGGTAACTGCAAGCCTAAATAGTTCAGTGGGTTCTGAACATCTTGCCATTGGTTGACTAAGTTCTTCATGATGAAAACTTCCAGGGTAGCAGTTGGGGTCTCAAGGAGATCAACCTTCGGCAGATTTGGTTTGCAATGGACTTCAATGTCACCAAAGTTCAACACCACAGCTGACGTGAGAATCGGCCGACCAGTAATTTCCGTGGCTGGTAATGCAATTGGCACTTGACCTGCAAAGACATCCTTTGTCAAAACAACCAGTGCAAGGGCCTCAGGGGAAATCTTATCCACAGGCGTCATCTTATTGGCTTCAGCCGTCGTTGCAATGGCGATGCCACACTGATCTGGGCCCCACTGCGCCAAGTCAATGATGTTGATCTTGCCTGAATCACATTGGAAGTGCTTGGGGTCAATGAAAACTTTCTTCAATGGTTCATCGCTCGATGATGCAGGCTTGTCCTTTCTTCCAATCTTGGCAGGCTTTCCAGGGAGTGATCCTTCTGACGCCATTTTCCTTTGTTTTTTCTGATGCTCCTTGAGTTCGGAGTTCGTGATCATACGGATCTTCGCCTTGTTGGCTTTGGTCTTGAGTTCATCCCATGCAGATCGTTCATCTTTCGTCAGGATGGTGGTGAGCTCATTTGCATCAATTGTACCTACCAGCAAAGCAGCACGTGCTGCCACTGCTTCTTCCGGGACTCCTTTCTGGCCAAGGATTACTTGAAGTTTCTTGGCATTGGCTTCATTAACCTTGGTTGATCCCTTGGCTCCTCCAGGCAATGCACATGCTCTGAACTCGATAGTGGCATCAGCGGCAACCTGATGAACAAGCAATCTTGGATCAATACCTTTCCCGTTTTGCATGACCAGGAGCGTCAGGTCGTTCTTAGCATCGGCAAGGAATCTGGCAGCGATTTGCAAAAGTGTTTCATTTTTCGGCAACTTCCTGTGATTGGCACGAAAGTCAAAAGGTCCTTTGACCCAGGTTTGCAGGCACGGCAACTCATTCACAGAAAAGGCACTTTTGATCGCAAATTTGGTGATAACCACTTCCGCCGGAGGCCATGGCTTGGCAGTAGGAAACCAGATGTCAATTCCACCATCAGGAAGTTGGCCAACTGTGGTGGTTGGGTCAATCAATTCTCCTCCATGGCACATGTTCGGGATTGCATTCTCAAGAAAGTCAGGTAGCAGGCGTCCAATGACCTGTCCTACTAGTTCATCTTTGAGAGCAGCACATGAACGAATGGTACCCCATTTTGGGTTTCGGATGGTGAACCTCACAACCCCCGGATGGAAAAGGGTGCTTTCATCTGTATGGACTGCTTCACTGACCTGGATGACACTGGGCTCTTCCAGTTGTCGTGGAATTCCAATCTCATTGGTGACGGCCACTGCTTTGAAGTGGAGCTCCGATGTGGCAAGGACGAACTCACTCGACATCATGACCCTACCATCCACAACAATCTTCAAACAAGTTGGCAAGATTGCAGCTTCAGTTGCCACATAGGCACACAAATCAGCAAATTTCCAGGTGACATCAACCTCAATTGCAAGCCCCAACTCCATGAAACTGGTGACAACCGTTCGAGCAAAGCAAAAGGGCTTGAAGAAAATATTCAACCTGGATTCACCAATCGGGGTTGACCCGAACCAGGCTTTGGCACCATTCACCTCAATATGATCAAAGTGTTCCTGTCTGGCATGTGGGAGCGCTGACTGCAGTATGTCTTTGATGGACCACATTTTGGGGATGATGAAAGCTGCAACCCAGAAGCCCTGCGAATGCATGATTCTGACGACAACCTGTCCTTCCGCAGATGCGTGAAGGTCCGTACCTATCTGATGAAAGAAAGGCATGCCAATTGGAACAGTTCGAGTTCCAACCGTTGTCGATGCAAGGTCCGGACATTCATTCCTGTTGAGTTCTGGGATCAGCGTTGGCTCTTCATGAATGCACTGCCATGTTGGAGAAATACATGGTCGCTTGGCCAACTCATCTTCATTCCCATCAACATCTTCATCATCACTTGAATCAATCACTGTTGCTGGCATGTTGCAAATTGTTTGGCGTTTCAACTGCAATCGCATGATTCCATCAGCATGGATCACATCATAGTCCCCCAAATTGCACTTCATTTGCAAAACAAGTTGGCACAATTCCTGCACGCTCTTGACATCACCTGCGAAGCCTGACATTTCACCTAAGAGCACCCTGGCACGGAAACATTGCAAGGCTGCATGTGGCACAGCAAGTGCATTACCTACCATGTGCCATGCATCTTGAAATGAGTCAGGTAGAGCAGTCGTGGCAGGAAAGCCCATTGCAGAGCAAATCTCAAACGGCATGGCAAACCTGAGGCATCCATTGACCTCTACTAAGAAGGAGTACAATCCCTTCTTTTCCAACAGGTCCGGAGGCAACATGTGTTGAGACCCTTGGGCAGCCATCACGTTGGGCAAGGGCTGACGAACATCCTTAATTCTCATTTTGAGCACATCCGTTCCCGAAAGCTTCTTATATTCTCCGGTGCGCATGTTCAATGGCAGGAACTCCGGCTTGGACAGAATATTGAGCACGGATGCATCTGGGACACATTGGGGAATCTCCCACGACTGCAGGACCGACTGGACACAACCAAATGACCCAATGGAATTAGTATCACCTACACCTGGAACAGACCTAGGGAATGCAATTGACTGGGCCATGGACAACTTGGCTGCAGTGTAATGTACATCTTTTCGGATGCAGGTTGCTAACCATCTGACTCGCATGATTGGCAAGAGTGGCATGGCTCTGTCCTTAGAAGACAGCACAACATCAAAACCTGCAAGATCGATCACTCTGCGAAGATCACGGTAATGTGGGTGATCAGGAAGTCCTGGAACGTTCTCTAAGTTGAGGATCCTGACACGTGAGACTCCTGCCCACATCACAAAAATGGCAAATGATTCTCCATCTTCATCATCAAGGCCTCTTTGCCATGAAGCCTTACTCCACGGTTGGAATGGTGGCGATGCAAGCCACGTGTTAATTCCTATCAGTCCACTCACCACGTACACTCTTGGATCACGAATGTCGGCCAACAAGACAAATGAACTGGGAAGTGAATTGTGCTTGATTCGATCAAGGGCCTCATTGATGCTGAGCACACACGTGTTGTGATTTTCAGCGCACCTATGTGCAACCTTGGGATCACTTTCAACCATAAGGGATACAGCTCCCCCCATCATTTTTGCTCCCAAAGTCCATCCCCCCAGTCCAGCAAACACTTCACCGATAGAAGTAGCCTGGGATCCTGGATGGATAATTGGCAGGAGATCTCCCTCCTTCGACTTCACTGACACCACATCGTTCTCACCATGAGTGATGAAATTGGATACTGTGAAAACCATGTCACTTCTTATGTGTGCAAACATCCAAGTAGGCACAAAACAGTGAAAAGTCATGAAATGAAACACTGGATGTGCAGGGGATGCAACGATGAACTCCTCTTCGAACTTCACGACTTTCAAATCCAGTTTCAGACCACGAAAGAAGGCATCCATGGCAGAAATGGACAGTCCACATGGGTCAATATGGGTAAGATCATACATATTGCCCAATCGGTTGATACCTAGCCACCCCTGGGAGGTTTGGGCCAAAGGCCTCTCCTAACCACTTGATAGTAAACTAGAGATTCCCCATGTGGTGGGTTTCATGTTAGGAAACAAAAGAGTAAACCCAGTACTATGATTCAAAGCTTACTCCCAGTGAAATTCCATATATCTGGGTAAATTATAATATTTCACAAACCTGAATAGTTCGGCCATAAAAGGGTATGATTTCCCTAACATTAAGCATGATTCCCAGTGAGGGAGAACAGTGAGGTCGTGATGAAATTTACCCGGATATATCCATAGAATATCCCCAGTTATATCCCCCGTATTGTCTAACCAAGACGCTTTTGCAGAGCATTCATCAAAACCGATAAAGACCGACGCTTCTTCATCTTCCGGTTCCTAGAGACCGACGCTTCCCAGTGACGAGTACTAGGACGCAGTAATAGCCACATGAAATAAGCCACTTATATGTGCCAGGGTCAAGTTACATTGGATGTTCATGGTTTTCTTATCCCATGAAACATGGGAATCCACAGGTAGTGGTTATATAGATGCCTACTGTATGAAAATGCATTGATGATGACCATGAGGCATATGATACACTCCCTTAAACTTTGATCTGTTTACATGTTACACATCCTCGAAGGACCGTGTGACAGCCTGCAGCCAGAAAACTGGCATATCTTCTACAAGCATATCATGCATATAAAATAAAATGATATCCAACATAAAGGATTCAGGATAGTTATATGATGATTCATATTCATGATAATCATACGTACATTTACTGTATATCAACCATTCAAACCCAAATATAATTCCATCCCCACATCATCTGACCTAGATTCATGAGACATCATGAGACCCAAGTCTGATTCAGGAATAAGTGGCTCTCATGTGTCTTAAAACTTATCAATTCCCAAGAGCCCGGCGACACGCAACACGCCTATTTTTTTCCACCCATGACATCCATGTGTGGTATATGCATAGATGTGGCTTATTTCCGGGGTATCTGCAAAAGACAGACAGATAGACCAAAAGGCAGGTATACAGGTGGAATCCAGGTAGATAGATAGATAGATGATAGATGATCACTATCATCATAGATAGGAACAGGTAACAGGTCAGTGCTCGGTTTGGTGTCCAAATTCCAAGCCCCACCCCATCCCGGCCTTGGAAACTCTCTTTCTGTGCTGACCGTTCACACCATTCACCAAAATCGCCGTGTCCGCCAGCGTAATTTTATTCCTGACGGACCATGGGGAACGATGTGGTTTTTCGAACCATAAATCCTATATCTGATGGTCTATGGTTTAAGATGGCACGAACTCAAGGCAACTTTTTTCATGGCTAATATCCTATTTGTTTGGATTCCGAGATTTTGCCGTACCCTGTGTGTCTTAAAACTTGTATAGCTTTAGACAATGGCCCGTCTATAGATAATTTGCGATGATGTACCCTTTAAAAATACTGCTTTGCCAGCTCGCTACATCAGGTGGTTATGATATTTAAAAAAAGAAAACGTATTCCAGGTCGCTCCTGAGTGTCCAGAAAGGCTACATGTGGGGATGAGCCAAGCCATTTAGGAAATTTAGGCCCTATGGGACCAGAGATTTTAGTAGATGTTTAGTATATGTATTAGTATATAAACATATATATATATATATTGTATATATATATATTGTATATATATATATTGTATATATATATATTGTATATATATATATACCATGGATGTATGTTTAGTATGTAGTAGTCAAACCAGAAAAACCAGGGATGTTTAGTGACCTATAGGAAAGACACAGGGACCATGGGCTGAACGTTCTTTCAGTGTAGTGTGAATACAGCAAGTAATCTTTATTGATCCTCATTGTTTGTGTTTTATGAACACTTGTGATCGATTATTTATTCATATAGAATATGCACAAAGATTAAAATTATCACCACTATTATGTATGGCCTGGAACCGGGTCTCAAACTCTGGAACCCAGTAACCCCCAATGCCTATCCCATGCTTTAGAACCGCAGCTTCCCAGAATTCCACAAAAGGCGATGCTGAAAATGGTGTCCCATGATAAATGTGGGCAATGCCAACCCTGAATGCTAAGCCTGGTTGATTAGACAGGGCACCACATTGATCAACCAAAATAGTGATAATCTGCTACTATTTTTTTTAGTGATATATTTTTGTTAGTGAACTAACTTTCGAAAGTCCCCCCCCCCGAAATATTGATATCATCTGCTACTAAAATGGTACCACTAATAATCAAGATAACAGCCCAGGGATGAATAACAAATCATTGACATTTTATATCAACTGGTATAGAGTTTGTATTTCATTAATATCGCCGTTGGTTATATCCACCAATTAGTTACTGTATATCCCATTAATATAGAATATATATATATACGATTAGTATATATATATAGAGAGAGAGCCATTTAGTGTATGTATAAATATATATATATCATATATATGTATATAATTGATATATATATATATACATATGATATATATATATATTATTATTATATATATATAGACGTATATCAATTATATAATTATATATATATCAATATCTGTATATGTATATATATATCACCGTTTTCCCTGATAGTACCCCAGTTGCTTAAATACCCCAGTAGCTCTATCTCCAGTTCCCGTGAAGCTCGAGGACTTGGAGTTGCTCTGGCGTTCGGTGGGGACCCTATAGGAGATCATAGGTAAGTGGTGATTTCATGCGATTTAACCATAGGTAAGTGGTTAAATCAACAGTGCTTGTGGTGATGTCAAGGGAATGATGGGATTATGTATATATATATATATATCTGGTTAATATGATATAATACTGGATTAATATGATATATATATAATAGGATTAATAATGGTAATATGAAATGGATTTTCTTTGTATGGGATAATATTCCTGAATCTTTGCGGTTGAAAATAGTCAATATATAGCTGGTTGGTGGTATACCTACCCCTCTGAAAAATATGAGTTCGTCAGTTGGGATTTTATTATTCCCAATAGATATGGAAAAATAATCCAAATGTTCCAAACCACCAATCAAGAAAAAGTGCTTTATTGCCTCTTGCTATTTGTTGCTATTGAACTTACAAAAACTTGGAAGGGTGATGTAATTTCACCCAGAAAAACGTGGTTTTAGTGGTACTCATAGCTGCATTATGCTAACTTGGGGGCCGCAGAACTCCGTTATTTCACCATGTGGGGTGAAACTAAAGCAGCAAACATTTCACGGCGCACCTGGTGGTTGGATTGGTTGGTACCAAGGGTAAATGGCACAAGAACAATAGGATGGTAAATGTATAGTTTCTTCTGGTAATTCGGTAACTACACATGTAATTATCCTCCTATGAACATATCATAAAATCTCCATAGTAGATGATTTTTTAATGTTACCTGTTATGTATGTTGTAATAGACCATCACCATCCGTCCCCATGTGTTGATAACAGCTTGCCATCCACTTGGGCCCCAGAGTCGAGAGAATTTGACTTGTGCAATTCGTCGCGATGGCATCCGAGACGTTTTGAAACACACAATCCTTGGTTGGAACTGAAAAGGAAACGACTTTTCAGTTTTTCAAAAAAAAATGAACTTGGTCAACTATGGCATAGTAGACACTATTGTTTGGCATAGACACCATTGTTGTTCAAAAGGAATCCCCATTTTGCTTGGTAAACCAGAAGGCTTTTGGCTGGAAAGCGCTGGTTCCAGATCCAAGACAGTGCGGCGCAACTAGGAGCTTCGCCAAATAAGTAGTATGCCACTATGTAAAAAGAAAAACATATCATATTCTGGTATGAAACATAGCATGTCAACGCGAACACAAATGAGTGGTTTTCTTGCAAGACGATCTATCATTGCCGGTTCTCTGCCCATCTGTTTTTGGTAAAATCGGGTTAGTTCGTATTTTCAAAACCATTTCGACTCACCGTGAAAAATGGGGATGGGTCAAAACCCGCTGGTAGCGATGTTCATTCATGGCCGTATTGGATCATTGTAATTCAGACATAGCCATTTTTCTAAAGTAGGTGGTTTGCAACCACAAACCTCAAAGGAACCAATTTTGACATAGTTTCTGAGGTCATTGACCCTTCGGAGGTCGCTATGAAACCTGGAAATGATGTAGGAAACATCATCGAACTACCATCCTGGAAACACTTTTAGGCACTTTTTTGCAGGTTAATGCCAACTCCGGATTAATAAACCATGGTTTATTAATTGTGGGGTACCCTCCAAATAGTCACAATATATATATATATATATAATATATATATATATATATACGATACTTAAATGGTATCCCCCCCAATTAAACAACCGTAAACGGGGTTTATTGATCCAGGGTTGACATTATATATTATGCAAATGGAGGGTTTCAACTTTTTGGCATCTGATTGTTGAACTCCCCGTGGTTCACCTGGTGAAACCACCATTTCGTGTTGCTAAAATACCTTGTCTTCTTGGATGAACCTGTGTTTTTGGTGGTTTAAAGCCAATAAGTACTAAGCATACTCAAGCTTACTCTGCAAAGAGAAGCTTTCGTTTTTGTTGGTTAGTAGATAACCCCATTTGATGCAAAAGATGTTTATTTGTAGTAAGTCCTTTCATCCAGTTGGTTTCCCGAGCAAAATATTCAATAAAAATTGGTCGACTGTGTTCAAAACCCGGTTGCTTGGTCATTGCCCGAATTATTAACCTAACCTGTATATGAATTGGAGATTCTCATCGTCCATGAACTGGGAAACCCGATTGTTGATATAATCATACAACCAATCTTTGTTGGGATTCTCACCCGTGTTCTATAGATATATATACATATACATATCATATATGTATATATAAAGGGTAACAAACAGATGGTACATACAAAAGGACGTTAATATGCCATCTGAAAGCCAATAATGTCCACTTTTTTCCACAAGCAGCCATTTGACCGAAACACCAGCACAGTCAAGCAGTTAGATACTTTCCAGACTTCTTTTTTGGGGTTCCAAGATTCCATGTTAGACTTATATATACAGAAAGTTAATGTTGGGCACTCACTTGAATGGCAAACAGACAGGGCATCAGCAAATCACAAAATCATGAATATTGCGGTCATAAATATTGGGAACACTGCTGATAAAGTTGCAGTTTCCATGCCTTTTCCCACTGCAAATCACTGCAAGAAAGCTAAATGTAACATATGTATGTGTATAGATATATATATATATATACATATATAAATATATACATATATATATATACATATACATATATATATATACATATATATATATACATATACATATATATATACATATATATATATATATACATATACATATATATATACATATATATATATATACATATACATATATATATATACATATATATATACATATATATATATATATACATATATATATATATACATATATATATACATATATATATATATAAACAATTCAGAAGTGTTACTGGGGATCACCATCCGATTAACCCTGCCATTTTCCCACCTTCACGACAGCTCGAGCGAACTGCTTCCGCACCAGCAAGGCGGGGCGGGAGATCCCGCCGGATCCTTGGGATCCGTCGGAGCGCTTGGAGCCAGCGCGTTCGAACCTGCAAAGCATGGGGATTCAATCCGAAGATAGCCATCGTTTAGTGGATTTCCCTATAAAAATGGTGATTTCCCTATAAAAAAAAATGTGATTTCCCTATAAAAAAAATGGTGAGAATACCCCATAGTTATGTTAGTTTAGCGGTATAAAAAACATGTGTGAAAAGTTGTTTCACCGATTTACTGTAAGAATATAGCGATTTCGCCAAATAAAATTGATATACAATCTAGGAAAATGTGGTTCAGACCTGTTGATGGAGGTATAAAGGCAACAACATTGGTATTCAATGCTGTAGATATGGAGGAGAAAATAAAGGTAGGGGTCAAAATTAGATATCCCTCAAATTGGATGGTTTCCCTAGCAAAATCAACAGTTCATCACAGTTCATATGCTCCACTGGGTCGCCAAGGGCTTTGTTAAATCTCCTGTTTCTACTGGCAGTTTTCTGGTTTTGTAGCGTATATACCCCCATTGTAAACATCGTCAAACATGGCCATGAAAAACACCCTATGTTTCATAAAGAGACATCCGCAAATGGACATTTATCAGGAAGAGTTTCTATCCAGTCAGTGGGATTTCAGGACCCTAAAATGGAGGTTCTGTACCATATAAGGCGGTATTTTGCGGGGATATTCCCCTACATAGCCCCAAAAAAAAGGCCTTATATATGGTAGGTACCTGCAATCAATCGGTTCCTGTTGCATGACCATTGACTATGTCCCATCAATCATCATTAATCACCATGATTAACCATGATAGTCCTATTGTGTTGCATAATTTTGCATAATTAATCCCTATTAATCATCATTAATCCCAACATTTTCCCTATTATTTTCCAGGTTGAATTAATCATTCACCCATATTATTTTCCCTATTGATCCCTATTATTAATCCCTATTAATCATAATTTTCCCCATCATTAACCCCCATTACAAGGTCAGATTACAGCAATCTACCTCCAAATCGCATCAAATCCCCCACAAGGTGACATTGAGGCCGGCTAGGCCCCACGTTTCAAACGATAGTTGGACGCTGTCGAAACTTGGTGAACTCGTTTGGATGCGGGGAATTTAATGTATATATATATAGTATACAATGTACATATAATAAAGCATAATATAAATATATATATATGTATTTTTTATTTATATATATATATGTATTTCTTTTAAAAAATACTTTTGATATATAGGCAATATATCATATATATAATACGAAATATAAGAGATATGAAATATAATATATCTGATATATATATATGAAACATATCGTACATTATATGAGATATTAAAAATATGTTACCTATCCAAGCTAAAAATTTAATATATATATATATAAATAATATTTACAATATATACAAAATATGAAATATATACAATATATACTTACCTACAATATATACAATATATACATATATACTATATCATCTAAATCTATAATACATTTTAAAAAATGTTACATTGAACATAGATAATAGATAATATATACAGTATAAAATTAAATGATTTAAATACAATATTATAGATGCATATATATTTATATATATATAGTAGAAAAGACAGTATATAGAACATATATTTAATGGTAAATAATATATATATATATATGATAACTATAATGTAGATAATGAATATATAATATAATTGTTTATACTAGATTGAATACAACAGATATAAAATATAGGATATATGTAATAGAATATATGTATATATGATTTAACTACAAACATTACAGGTGGGGCTGCCTCACCTTGTATTAAGCACAAACCTATTCTGGCCCGCACCCACCTGGAACTCAAGACTTCAACGCTGGGACGGGCGCGGCTCGTCCGATACGTCGCTTGCAGCTGTGAATTCAACCCACAATCCATGCCAGCGCCACAATCCACAAAGGCGCACTGGGACACTGAAACCTGGACCGGAAAGAATGGCCCATGAAGCAACGATACCCAAATTGACCATTGTTATGGGAGTATAAATCATCAATCTATATGGGTGGTTGGTGACATTGCTTTACTAACATTCATTTTTGTAGCAATCATCCAACTTCGGGGGTGAATATCTTGACATCATGTCCTTCCGACCTGCATAAAAGCACGGCCGAATCCGAAGCGTTTCTCCTGATAAACCCAAAACAAACCGAAGTTGTGTGCTGTTGGCAAATCCTTGTCAAATGAACATTTGGAGATATTTGAGGTATGGTGTATTCTCCGCCTTGACATATTTTCACGGAGATTTGAGATCACCAGACTTTGGGAAAATTTCTACATCATTTGCCCATCTTTTTCCACCAATGGAGACGTCTATCCTGAATTTTCAGGCCCAGGCCCAAGGTGGGGACCGCAGGGGGGAGGCCGCCTTAGGACAACGAAGGTCCAGTGCCGTGCTGATGGCGGAGTAAAAGTTGCAATTCTCCACCAAAACCTCGGTGGGAAGCGACCAAACTGGCCAAATTTATCCCATCTATATGTGTATATATTTAGATAGATATAGATATAGATATATATATATATATAAATATACATACATATATATGTATGTATGTATGTATGTATGTATGTATGTATGTATGTATGTATGTATGTATGTATGTATGTATGTATGTATGTATGTATGTGTGTATGTATATATATATATATAGTATTTAGTTTTATATATCATTTTATGTAGCTGTTATATATATATATATAGTTGTATTTATATAGTTATATATCATTCAATACAGTTCATACAGTTGTATAGATAACTATTTAACAGCGTTCATATATAGTTTATACTATATATATATATACTATACTACAATCATAAATGGCCTGTAGTTGATATTGATCTCTAACGTCCCATTGTGAGTAGCAATATACCACTGGTAACTGGTTCATATCCTGCGCTTCCGACTGGATTTACAAAAGTGGATTATGCCGTTACATGGAACATACAAGTTGCCTTTTGCAAAATTATTGGTCAATTTGATTCTGGGCCCCCGATGTTGGAGGAACCACAGTCCCCGGCCTTGCTCAGGTGTTCTCCAAGTACGCCACAAACTGGCGTACTTGGGCCTGGACGGCTTGGACATGCTGCCGGTGGGCAAGCCGCCGTTCAGCGGCCGCCCTCCAGCGGCTGCCCTTCACTTTGGCATTGTGCAGGACCCCCTTGAGGTACCACACGCGGTAGTCCTCGCGCCTTTCCCTGCCGCTTCCTCCTGCGATTTTCGGTCGATTTGCCGGAGGGCGTCAGGGGGTCTAGAATTTTATAGATAAATATAGCTAGATTAGAAATATATATATACATATATATATATATATCTATCTATCTATCTATCTATCTATCTATCTATCTAGGTGTAATTATCATGTGTCTTTTTTTGCATCCATCGATCTTCCTGCACTAAGAGATGTCTCAATCCTGAATGGTAGATCATTACCATATACAGTAGCAATGCTGCCGTGATGGTGTCATTTCATAGTATACAGTAGCAATGATGCCGTGATGGTGTCATTATGATGCCGTGATGGTGTCATTCCATAGTATACAGTAGCTATGGTGCCGTGATGGTGCTGAAAGCATCAGAAATGCATCTTGAAGATCAAGGGTCTTAACCTCAGAGCCGGGTGCTCACAGGGTAGCCATTAACATGGAACATGATTCACCGTGTTCCCGCAAGTGAAAGGGAAACTTGCAAGCGTTCGACAGAAAGTCTATTCTTCAAAAACAAATCAATTTCAAAAAAGGACTGCCTTAATTATTCAAAAATGCCGTTTTTGGGGCTCTTTCAAGGGCAACTTTCCAAAATCAAGAAGTTTTTCTTCAAAACTGTCAATCAACTGGCCGGAGCTGGCGCACCTTTTTTTTTCCGTTCATCAGGCCAAGCTTGGTTTGTAAGAGAAGACACTACAGTACTTGCCGTCTTGCCGTGTATTGTTGCCTTGCCATGTGAGCATGTCCCCTTTTAGTTGTTGCTGTAGTGTGTGTAGTGTGTGTGTGTGTGTCTACATTACAGTACTCTTTGTATTGTGTCTACATTTGTTTGGCCATGTGCTGTGCTGTACACCTAGTACTCATCTCATGCTGAGCATGCGCTCATACCTCTTCTGGTACGTTCTTCTTTCTTCTTTTTCGTTGGCCAGCGTGTGCCACAGGTTCTGCACAGTAGGGCGTTGGGCAAGTTGAAATCTACAGTATACGTACCGTACAGTACAGTTACTGTACAAGAACATTGAACTGAATGATTTTGCTAGTGCAAATGGGATGAAAAGAAAACATACAGTACAATATTTACAGTATATACAGTATATACGGTATGTACAGTACTGTATACTGATGTTGGGAAATCTGCTTTGAAACGGATACAGTACAGTACTGTACATACAGTATCACTTGTACAGTAAATGGGGGATGCAGCAACCAGTCCTCCTCAGACTTCTTCAAGGCCCTGTACCTCTTCCGAATCTCATCTCCATCTTCTTGTCCCTTTGCCAGCGCAGCGCTTTTGGCCTTCAGCTTGATCAGCAGCTGCACCGCGATCTTTTTCAACTCCTGGCAGACAGTAGAAAACTGTGCAGTAAATGTGGGCAATCATGGTGCCATCCAAAAATGATTGTTTTTGTCTCCTGAATGCAACCCTTGCAGTACTGCAATTCTTCTTCAAATTTTGGGATCTGATGTTGTACAGTACTAGGAACCCAAAAAAGCCGAAGTCATCCAACATTACAGTACGGTACAACAAATGCCAAAGACACGCAGCAATACATTAACATGGAACAGCCGTGGCGCTAATGACAGTTTTCTGGAAGGAAAGCAAAACAAATCGATTTCAAAAGGACAGCAGCCTTTTGCAATAATGATGATTTTGGATTTCCTGAAGGGCACCCACCAAAGTTCATATGTTTTCCCTACTGAAAAGAAAAACAATACAATCATAGTGTCGCCCCAAAATGGGAAATCATTTCTTCTACCGTGCATTACTGTACTGTACTGTACTGATGTATATATCATTATTTCATTCACATGGAATATTTGTGGCTGGTGTGTTTCCACAAGCGACTTGGACAGTTCGAGTTTTCTAGTCCAGCACAATGCTGGTAAAGCACATGCAGTACAGTAACAGCACAGTACTTCGTGGAATTCAGCACTGTACAGTACATGGGGGACTTGTTCTTACAGTAAAATTTAACACGGAACTTCAGGATTCAGGAATAGTACAGTACTGTAAAGCACGGTAACGTACATTGAAACCCTGCTATTCCCAAACCGTCCCAAACCTAGCCCGGTACTCCTTCTGGACCTGTTTGGCCTCTTTGAACCGCTTCGTTTCCCTTCTTTTTTTGCACTTCATCTTGGCTGGTCTCTTTCCTTTGGAGCACCGCCAGAACGTGTAAGTTGCAACACGTTCATTGAACTGCTTCACCTGCTGTTGTGCAGGCTGGCAGGAACATAACGGTCCTTGCCACCAACGCTCCTTGAGAACGGAGGACTTGAAGAAGCCCAAGTTGTCCTTCCTTCCGTTCCCCTTGCCACCAGGACGGCAAACAGGCACAGGCCGTCTGGCGGCTCCCCTTGGCCCCAGAACTTCGAGCTTGCTCCAGAGCTGGGGGGGATACGACATGCCCTCAAGGAGGACGCCGGGGACCA